GTCGGGTGTGCAAACTGTATATGTATGGATTCGCAAGGAATCTTTCGGAACATGGACACTCTGAATTTGGATTTACTGGAGAGCTGTGCCCGTACACTCCGGATGTGATTTCTTACATTCCGGTAACCGCCAAGGAGAGCGGAGGTACAAGTCTGAATTTTGGCTTGAGATCCTATAAGAAGTGGGTTGGTTTCACCTTTGAATTGGTCTGCGTATTCCATTTCCAATTTGACACTGGAAGTAAGTACTACTTGCGGAATGCAACCGTCACAAGCGCAACTTGCTGCGGAGGCAACAACCCCATCAGTGCCGATGTCGACAGATGCTACTCTTGCGCCGCTCCTCCTCTGAATCAGCTGTTTCCAACTGGGGCATCGCGGTACTTCAACAGCACAGTCAGCATTGCTGCAATGCGACGGAGCTTCAAGGATTGCTCCTCTACCGTGCTCTCAACTTGTGACGCTTCAGGCAATCAGTTGATGTCGAACCCGGAGACAACTTTAACTTCACGTGCGTTGAAGGTATGGAAAGACTCTGATACCTGCTGCTCTGACGTGTGTCCAGGGTCGCTACTTCGACTTGAGCTATCAGAAAGATGTTGGAGTAGTTGACGTGTATCCGAGAAACTCGCCTGCCAAAGAAAACTTGACGTTCACTGTTCGCTTGCAGAATGCTCCAACCGATCCGGGGGGGGGGGAGGGGAATCGGGCTCGGTAGGGAAGAAGAGAAGATACTGGAAGGGGAAGTGGGGTGTGAAAGGGGGCGGAGCCAGCAAGGGAGGGAGGGAGGGACCGGGACCGGGACCGGGACCGGGAGCGGCAGATCCGGGAAAGATGAGCGGGCAACAAGCTTGACAGACGTTGACAGTCGAGGGATTCAAGACTGAATCTAGTTCAGGTCGTCGGGAGAATCGTCAGCATCTCAACGAGTCGTCTCACAGCTGCTGAACGAGATGGATGGGATTGAACCGCTGAAGCAGGTAACCTTGAAAGAGGGAGAGAACATAGGCGTAGATAGAACGTCAGGAAAAGGGGAAAAGTCAAGTCAGAGTTGAGCACTGCTTCAATATCCCTTAGATGAAGTTGAGTACTCCTTACAATTCCTCAGAACAAGTTGGGTGCTGTTATCATTATGTAATTGTTGTTCAGGTCATCGTCGTTGCAGCTACAAATCGACCGGACCTGATTGACAGCGCCTTCCTGCGGCCCGGGAGGATCGATCGACTCATCTACGTGGCTCCTCCCGATGAGGAGAGCAGACAGTCGATCCTCAAGATACACCTCAGGTCTCCTGCCCCGCCCCTGCCCCAGAGAGCCGCACATGAGCGTCAAGTAGACGAGAAGCGAGGAGAGTCGAGGCTCGAGTAGGGTACTTGGCTCCGCAGACCAGACGAGACCAGAGAAGGCGTGCAGACTGACTGACGCTGCTTGAAGGAGAATGCCGACTGCCGGGGACGTGGACTTGAAGCTCCTCGCTCGCAGGTCTGTCGGAATGAGGTATCCGTCAAACTCCTTCCCCATCCCTCGTCCCGCTCACCTGCCTGCAGCGGGGCGGAGCTCGCCAACCTCTGTCGGGAGGCAGGGCTGCAAGCTATCGCCGAGGACAAGGACGAGGTGAGAGTGGAGGGAGAGGCTGCCGGGGAGGCGCTGAACCGGGGGGGGTGGAGGTGGACATGGAGACGCTGGAGCGAGCTTTAAAGGTCTGCCAGCCAAGAATCACTTCAGAGATGATCGCCTTCTACGAGAGCTTCGCCAGGAGGATCGCAACCTGATCCTGCCACGATTCTGAACGGGCCGGCTGCTGATTGCCACGGCACGGGCGAGTACTAACATTCACTCATAGTGATGAGTAAGAAATTAAGTCGACTTGACTCATCACGTCCGAAGAATTGCTCGATCATCGAAAAAAAATGTTTTTTTCTGGTTAGTTGAAACGAACACGAGTGGTTTCACAAGTTAAGACTGTGATGGCTCAAGAGGTCGCATCTACATCCCCTCAGCCGGTCATTATTGGGTTAAAGATAAAAATAAACCAGCCTGAAATGATACGAAGCGACCTAGTTTCGCTACTGCCCTACTGGTTGCTGACACCAAGCCCCTCCGCTCCCCCGTCCTCCGATAGCATGTCAGTCCCAACACCACCGCAGCACAACCAGCCCCAGCATCCCTGACATCCCACCACCTCCTCTACCTTCAAAACTTGAAACCCTCCGCTCCTCGTAATCCATGGTCCTGACCTCCTCCCCCCCGGCCCTCCTCTCCCGCTCCATCCGCCTCACCAGCATACGCTGGTCCGCTCCCTCCAGCCCTCTTCTCCTCCTTCCACATGACCAGCACCCCGCCACACGGGTCGCCACTCCAAACGACGGCAAGGCGCTGCTCAGCAGCCTGCACGCGGCTTGCAGCAAAGCAGCGACGGCAGCGACGGCAGCGACGGCAGCGACGGGAAAGGGGGCGGGGTCAGGGAGCTCGTGAGGGAGGGGGGTTTGCGCGTGCGCTTGTAGAGTGTAAGATAAGAGGGGGCACAGAGGGAGGGTGTGAAGTATGAATGAAAGTACAATGATGTAATTCGTGTTGGGACGCTTAGTTTGCCTGAACTGGGACTAGGCAGTCGTCAGTGAACAGCTCTAGAGTCGTCACGTCTCTGGTCTCCTCTAAGATGAAATTGCGGAGCTTCGCCATGACTTGACACTTTTTGCCTGCCTGAGACCCACACAGGATGATTCTTTCCTCGAATAAGAGCCTCATGTACCAGGAGGCTTTTCATAGCAGAACCAAGCACTGCGACGATCGAAAACTTCCTGCTCTGTCATACCATGAGTACTTCAAGAGTATCAACGCGAGTCATAAAGCTCTCTGACCGCGTAACTTGTCAAGATCTAGCATGTCTGCTTCCCTACAGTGTTTTTCCATTGTCGGGCTGCGCATTAGCTTACTTCCCCAAGTTGATTCATACTTCACATCCTCCCTCGCCCCCTCTTATCTTACACTCTACAAGCGCACGCGCAAACCCCCTCCCTCACGAGCTCCCCGACCCCGCCCCCTTCCGAAGTTCCCGTCGCTGCCGTCGCTGCTTTGCTGCGAGCCGCGTGCAGGCTGCTGAGAAGTGCCGCGGCCTTGCCGTCGCTTGGAGTGGCGACCACGGCGTGGCGGGGCGCTGGTCATGTGGGAGGACCGGCGGTGCCAGGACCGAGCCCCCGAGCGGCGGGCGGCGCGAACTTGCCTTGCTGCCAGGATCCGACCGGCCGCACGGCCCGCAGCGGCCGGGTGGACCGACGGACGGTCTCGGTCGCATGATCACAGACCAGTGATGCTGTAAAAGTCCGATATGGGGAGTTTTAATGCTCGTACCATATGCCATCTGATGATCATCCAGTGACTACAGCGAGTACATCAGCAATCACTGACAGTACCACTGTAAAGGCTGCTGACTCGGGGACTGGAAAGGGTCTTGGTATTGATGATTGGAACTCTGAACCGTTCGGAACTTGAAAGTTTCTTCCGAATACCAGTTTGGTCCCTAAAAAGAAACCAAGTTACCGTACCAATCGGGCTGCCTTTTTCCCTATCCAATCTCTACGTTTCAAGTACTCTCGCCGTGGGTAATGCACAACACGGGGATGAACATTAAGTTACGTGTGTATCCAAAGTGACACTCAGAGACAATTACAGTGATTGTATAATACTCTCAGTCGTGTTATCTCACTGTGACATACGTGGATACTCCCGGAGTGCCTACTTTATAGTAAATCAAATCCGGGTAACTCCTGTTAGTGTCACTGAAACTTGTTCACAATTGCCGATGGTACGGTAAGTCTTCAAGGCTTGCTTGTTGATTGAGAATTGATCACATACGCAATTCCCAAACTTCGATCAGCCTGCTCTAGACTAGTAGCAGCGTCAACCAGAGACGGCGATGGCGAGGCTGTCGGAGTCCGCCGACTGGCAGGCTGGGCCGGGCCGGCCCGCCGGGGATTCCGACCGCCGATGATGCTCAGGCTCAGTGCAGTACTCAGTACGGTCGCGGCACTGAACTTTGGATCAGTGGGGAGTACCCCGACACTTGTGAATTTATAATAGAGGAGTAGCGTCAGTGACAGGGGTAGGGTACTGCATCCCTTCCGAACACAAAAGGTACCGAACCTTGGGGTGGAAACTCAAGGTGGGGTGTATATTAAGATGGGGTAGGGTACTCAGACACCATGTGTACTATCAAGTTAACCCGGGGTGGTACCTCGGCATATGGGAGGTCAGCCATTTTCAAGCGGTAGTGGTCGGACGAAGGGTGGGTGGTGGGTTCGTTTTGTTGATTTGAGATTCATGGGGGTGGTCAGGGGGTATGTAATAAGTTGTTTGACTACCCCAGGGTACTTTTTTTGAGAGGACCGGGTGGTCCACAAGTTCTGAATATGGATTCTTTTTAGGAAATGGGGGTAGGGGTATCCACCCACCCTACTTCAGACTCATGGTCTTCCCCGCTTTCAAAAATCCCTCTGCGGATACAGAAGTACCCCACCCCAAAAGTTCACCCTTGCCTTTCCCACATCCCTGCTCTTACCAGAGCAATCAAGGGGTCCACATACCACCCCACCCATCCGAGGACAGCTTGTACCCATAAATGTACAAAGTACACAAAACTACCCCCTTCACAACCCGCCATCCGACCAAGGCTTCAACTGTGGGTCCTTGGGTTGAAGGGTGGGGAAGGGTGGGTTATTACCATCACCAAGGGAGGGTGTTGTGTACATGTTATTGGATTGGGTAGGGTATGTTTCCATGGAATCACGGGTCCTTTGAAAAGCAAGTGTAGGGACAAATCTATGGTGGGTGCATTATAATGGCTGGTGGTTCTGTGGGGTAGGGTTCCTTTCGGATGCTCAGAAATATTTGAGGGGTAGGGTTATGACTTGTAGGGGGTAGGGTAGGGGTAGTCGGAGAGTGAACCGCGGCAATGAAGACAAGAAGTGGTAGAAGGAGAACGGGATGACGGATGAAAAATGGAAGAAAAAAGATGATAACAGTGGGAAAAGAGATGAAAACTAAAAGAGGACATGAGACAATGGAGTATGGTTGTTCAAGACAAATGTCATAATCTAGGATGACGCAGTTAGTGGAAATGTTCGTTGAACTGGTCAATACTTTTTCGCTGAAACGGGTCACCAGAAATGAGACCAGGCTCAGGAGATTTACTGCAATGTGGGACTTCGAGAAATATGTCATTTTGAAACAGTGTTGAACGATTTTACAATCAATGAAGTGAGTTTGAATGCTTGAGAATGAGGAAGTTGCGTAAACCAAACAAAAAGAAGCTATCATTGAAAGCGATTTCATGAAAAAGTTTTTTAGAAATATGTGTAGGAAGCCCTTTCTAGAAAGAATATGACGGATACATCAAAGCCTTGAAATGCAAGCTTAGGTCAGAAATCAACAATTTCAGTGTGGAGGACGCCGTCAGCGTTTAAAGGTAGCTTTCTTACAACAGGTCAAATGAAGTTCGGAGCAAGAGAGCAGAACATTTGATGATAGTTAATTGCATGCCGTGATATCTGTACACGACTAAGATGAGAAAGCATCACTAACATGGAAGCATCGCTAACATCTTGTACATCCCTACCTCAGCCGTGACATGAGCCTGTGCAGGCCATCCCGAAATGATCCACGGTAGACTTTAGAGGGAGCCATGCTGGATCCTGTGGATGCAGCAGCTCTTAAGGTATGTTATGCTTCCCTTCAGTCCCTCGTTATCTTGACGTAGGATTGCTCGCAGTTCACCCAGAATGCGCTGGAGCGCTGTGCCACTCCGATGCTGCAGAAGAAGTTTGTGGTGAGACGCGTCGATGGTTTTAGAGCTCAGGTTTTAATATCCGTGACCTCTCCAGGCGCTGGGTGGTGTGGATATGCTGGTTCACTTCATCTCAATGTCAGTCAATGATGAAGTGGTCTCCAGTGCAGCTCTTGTAAGCGCCTTCTTTTGTTTCTTACTTCCAGTAATGGCCTTATGATCATAGGTTCTCAGAATGCTGCAAGCCAACAGCAAGGAAGCTTGTATGCGCGTCGTGAAGTTGGGTGGCCCTTCGTCGCTTCTGGCGCTGCTGCGGCGGACAAGGAACAATCAGGTAGTCATCTCTTGGTTTACTGTCTTTGTTCTGTACGCTGATGCTCAGCAAGGTTGTGCTTCCTGTTGTTTCAGCCCTTCGTACACTCGTCGAGGCTTGGAGTATGGGCAGGGATGATCCTACCTGGGACAATGTGGTGCTTTTTGAAAGCTCGGATGATGCGGCTGAGGTTGAGCTTCTCAAGGAAAGTTGCTGCTGTGACTCAACTGTTGTCAGGTGCTGGTGGAGCTGCTCAAAAAGGCCAACACGGACATCAGACTAGAAGCAACATCGACCTTGTACCATCTCTGTGCGAACGACTATGATCTTGTGCTTCGATCTTCCAGCTGCGGGGCCATGGAGTCGTTGACCAAGACCCTGAGGGAAGAGAGAGATCTCTCCTTTGTCATCCAGGCGACAAACGCTATCTGTGTCCTTCTGGCATCGGAAAGCCTGCATGACGTCTTTGCTTCCTGTGAGGGATACATCGTCCTGATGGACCTTCTCCGGGTGGCCAACCACAACAAGATGGCAGAGCAAACTGCACGTGCCCTGTCCAACTTCATGTGTAACCACAAGGCGCAAACGCAAGTGGCTTCTGTGAGCGGGGCGGAAGTTTTCGTTTCGACCCTGAGGAAGGTCCTGATGAAGCAAATCATCGACCCCGAGGGGACGGTAGTGGAGCAAGTATGCGCAGCCATCTGCAACTTCACCTTTGAGAATGATGCCAATCGCATTCGGGTGGGGGAGGTGGGAGGATGCGAAGTTCTTGTCAGAGTGTGTCAACTGAGTGAACAGGATCGTGTCTTGGAGCAGGTCTCGTGCACCCTTTGCTTACTTCTGCTCTGACCTCCTCCTCCAGGCTTGTGCAGCAATCGGGAACATCTGCAAGAAGAACCGAACCAACAGGTCGCTGATCGGCAACGCAGGAGGCTGCGAGGTTCTGCTTCGTGTGATCTCCAGCTCTCCTCCAGAGCGGACAGCCGTCCAAGCTGTGCGGGCCATCGGAAATGTCGCCATGCGCGCCCCAGAAAACCAGCTCAAGTTTGCGGCAGACAACGGGCTCAGGCTCCTGCTGCAGCTGGTGGAGACGCTCTCTCTCAAGCTCATCCCCACTCCCTCCCCCTTCGAGCTTGAACTGCAAAAGTCGTTCCCTTCAGGGAACCCGCGAAGCCCGATGCCCGTTGGGGGATCAAATCAGAGCTCGCCGCTTAGCTCGACCTGCACCACCCCAAGGCATCGCGGGGCAGCACAGCACGAAGAGAGCTTCCTGCAGCTCACGCTGTCTGCCCTGTCGTCCCTCTGCTCTCATGACTGCTGCCGATGTCAACTGGTCTACGACCTGGCGACCAAAGAGCTGCTGTCTCGCATCTCGCGCGTTTCAGCGCATGCCGATACGCAAAACATGGCCAATCGGCTCCTCTCGCTGCTGTGGATCCAAGACATGCAAGAAGAGAGTCCAGCAGACGTGGAGGAGGTGAAACCTGGTTCCATCCATAGTAAGAGCATGGAGGGCGAGGCTTCCCTCCAAGAACTGCCGTTCGAATCGTCTTCGGCATCCACCAAGAAACATTCGTTTAAGCACAGCGAGACAGGGGCAGATGACAACGACGAGTGTTGGGATCCCTCGGACTTCGAGGAGGATGGCATTGCAGACCATCACTCGGATGCATGTAGTGTCGCAAGCTTTCACTCTCGCAGTAGCGCATACTCTCGTGACAGCTCGCAATTTTCCCGCTCGTCTCGACGAGCTTCCTCCGAGCAGATGAGTGCGGAGATCGACTGCGAGGCGGAGATCGATCACGAGGTGACGTCGAGCTACGCGTCTGATCACGACAGCAACCGCTACAGTGACGTGGAGCTCAACGGCTTCGGAGGAATGTTCAGTGAGGTCAGCGATGACGAGCTGGACGTGGAGCAACTGAGCAACAGCGGCGTCAGGCTCACTGTCAATGACTTTGGACAGTATCACGGAAGAGAGGCAGGGAGCAGAAACTTTGTGGGAGAAAGCTCGGTACGAGCTGCAGAAGAGGAGATGGTGGCGTGCGAAGGAAGTGCAAGCAAGGATCATGCAAGTGGGGAGCAGGGGGGAGAAGCTGTTGAAGCATCACTGCCGCAGAGCAGAAGTAGCCAGCAGGGCAATTCTAACTTGGAGCTGCTGATTGCAAAACGGAATTTGCGGCTAGAGATTCACGATGGTGGGGATGGTCACGGACGAGAGAGGGAGGAGGAAGGGGCAAGTCAGCAGGAGCCAGCGATGGCTGCGTGTGTTGTCTCCAGTGAAAGCTACGGCCTTCCCCCTGCCATGCTCAACGCCCTTAATTACCGTCCATTACCGCAAAGTAATGATGTGGACCTGCTCTACTCGCGGAACCTCAAGCAGAAGCTCATCGACGCCTGGCTGGACGTGGCCGAGCGCTCGCAGAGGAACAAGGTGGCGCTGGCCAAGTGCAGGAGGCAACGAGATCGCAGGGCGGTGGGGGAGAACCTGAAGCTGTGGAAGGAGGCCTTGATCACTGAGGAGAGCGACAATGACACGCCGAGAGACCACAGCGAAGATGCGCTTCCTAGCAGTGACTGCTCCTCCTCCAGCTGCCGAGCCTTTTACCACGAGACGGGAGATACCATGGGAACCAAGTCAGGGAACAAGACGAGGTGCTGCTGCGAAGGAGATTCTCTAAGCCCTGACGAGCAGACTCCGCATCCCTTCCTACTGGACTGCAATCAAACGGGAGGGAAAGACGCGGCTGACTTGATGACTGTGGCGTCAGAGGCCTCCACCAGGTCCCTGGGCAGTGAGAACTCTGGTGTGTCTTTATACGAATGGTCCGCTCCTTGCTTTTGCCCTGCCCTCGCCAATTGCCCCGTCCCTCCCTCCCCCTGCTGCAGGTCGGCAGAAGCTGCGCTTGAAGCTAGCACCAAGGTCATGGTGTCTCTGCTGGAGAAGAACGGATGGGCAGGAAAGGAGCAAGCGGACGTGGAGATAGACAAGAGGATGGGGTGTGATAGCTGCAGACAGGCTATGTGGACGGAGGTGGGATCGGGAGAGGAAAATGCTTCGTCTTGAGAGCTGAAGTTGTTGATGATGAGGGGGATATTGTAGAGTACGGAGGGGTTGCCCTCCCAGCATTGTTCTTTGTGTTATTTCCAGTAAAAGAGAAAAGAGTGAGTTCAATTGTAATAGTCAGGATACCGGCATGCTCACGTGATGGTATGCTCTACCCTCTCTCTTCTCAGCTCTCGATCTCTCAGCTCTCTTCCCAGCTTTATCTCTCGATCTCTCAGCTCTCGAACTTCGGCTTCTACAGGATACAGCATCTGTCATGGTTGCTGCGATCAGAGATAAGAGCCCCATGGTCGTTGCAGTAGGTCAAGAAGTCCTTCCACAAGCTGTCCTTGGCCAGGCACTTGAGGTTTCCGATGACTATCATCAGGCACTGCGCCCTCGTCACTGCCACGTTGAACCTGCCCCACGTGTCACGACCCTCAGGCTCAGCTGGCCGTTGGCAGAGGCACTGGCATGTTACCTCTTGGCCGAGTTGACGAAGCCCAGGTTGAAGCGGTCGTCAGACTGAAGGAGCAAGGGGTCGCTGCGGACGGTGGAGATGATAATGACGCGCCTCTCAAGGCCCTGGAACAGCTCGGTAGTGCCAACCTGCAGCTGAGAATCAGACCGGACAGCAGTCTTAACACGCGACGGTTGACCTTAATTCCCAGCTCCCCTTGCGGGATGTTCTTACTGGTGATCAGCTGCCGTATCTTCTTCACCTGCCTATCGTATGGGCTGATGACCCCGATGTCTGACGGCAGCACGTCTGGCCGGCTCGAGAGGAGCAGCTGGATGTAGTTGACCACCTCCAGACACTCAGTCGTGTTGAACCAGGAGGGGCTGGACTCCTCCTGCTCGTTGATGCCCTCCACGCACTTGACGATGATGGGGAAGCCCCTGCACGGCAGGTGCTCCCAGTCAGCCAACGACATCACCTGCCGCTCATCGCCATGCGCCGTGAGCTTGCCGAGGTAGAATCGATCGCTGGGGAACTTGATGATGGCAGGGTGAGATCGATAGTTTCTTTGCAGCATAGTGACGTGACTGGGGTCGAACTCTCCGTTTTTCAGCTGGTACAGATCATGCTCCATGAGTCGCTCCAGCAGAGAGACGGACAGTCCATTCTGACTGGCGGGCTCAGAGAGGACGACAGGCCCCAGCTGCTTGGGGTCTCCTGCCAGCACCAACTTGCCTGACCTGCCCAGGAGAGCACAAGCAGCGCCAGCAGCCTCCACCTCATGGGCTGTGCCAGCCTCGTCCATGAACACGACGTCAAAGTGATTTCTATGCACGCCATGGTTGTACAGCGCCATAGCTGCGTTGCAGGTCGAGACGACGACGCGATAGTCCATGAAGTTTGACAAGCCAGGGAACTCAAATCGCTCGTTTTCTTCGTTGTAGTTGCTGTAGCTGAGAACCGTGCTGGAGATCTCCTCAACCTGCCGAGTAGAAGCCATGTGTCGGAACATCGTCTGGGTGCCGAGCGAGTTGCTCAGACGCTGGACGAGAAGATCAGCAGCTGAGTTGGAGGGTGCGCAAGCAAGTATGTTGACGTCGGAGTTGAAGTACAGCTGGAGAATGGCTTCCACGACCGTGACAGACTTTCCAGTGCCTGGAGCATGAAGGGGCTGTCAGAGAACACAAGAGAAGCAAGGCAAGACAACCAGGAGGTCCGAAGACGATGTAGGGAGAGACCGAGGCGGAATAAAGAACATGGTGGAAGATACGACCCACTGCATGCGTCTGTTCGGCGTTGAGGTTGGAGTTGAAGGGCTGAAACGACTCTTCTACAAACTCTTCACCCTCCCTTTCTTTGTCGGCAAGAGCAGGAAAGAGGTTTTCACAATAATCGTGGGAGAGGCGGAGGCATTGGAGATGCATCCTAACGCTGTAAGTGTTGGGCTCGAAGAAGAGGTCCAGTCTCTCTCTCTTGCTGTACAGCGACATGAACTGCTTGGGGAACTTGAGCAACACGCTGTCTCTCCGCACGGCTTGCACGTACCCCCTGTACTTCTCCTGGGGGTCATGCCAAACTTGGACGCTATCTCCTCGCATGATCGACGGCCTCCGCTCTGCCAGCCCATCGATGAAGAGAGCATGGAGATTGCCTTCGGCTTGCAGCATCGCGTTCGCAAAGTAGCCTTCCTTGGTGACCTTCTTGCAGCTGGCGATGTGCTCAAGAGTGACGAGGCGAGAGAAGAAGGCATAGTAGGTGGTTGGCAGCTGGGCCCTGAGGGTGAGTAAGACGACGTTCAGCTGCTCTCTCGTCAGTTGCTCCAGCTCGCGCACGATCGCCTTCTCGTTAGCCTCTAGGCGAATAACAAAGTGCGAGGAGCTTGGAGGGAACTCCGTGTAGGCCACGACTCCTTGAGGAAGGGACACGGATGGCTTGGGCTCGTACCGGCTGCCCAAAAGGTTCATCTCGTCGGCATGGCAGCAGCGCAAGGACACGTTGCGGGAGATGGTGAATTTCTCGTCCTGGCCGATGGAGAAGTTGAAGTCCAAGACCCCAACAAGAAGCCCGTACACCTGCTCGCATCCCGTCATCTCCCCTCACCTTGACGCGCGTCAGCATACCTGCGGCAGGAATTCCACGTCCAACTGCACACAGTCTCCTTGAGCAAGGGCCGGGGGAGGCTCCATGACGCCCTCCATCAACTCCAACGCGTCGGACTTGAGCGACAGCCCCAGCAGGTGCACCGGATCTCCACTCAAGCGTTTGATCGTCACCACGCACGTAACTTTCTCCTTCGCGTATCCCTTCGGTCTTCCCAGCTCGTCCTTGTGGAGCCGGCAAACGTTCTCGTCGATCCAAACCCCGTGCATATCCTCGAGCATCTGTTTATCATCCCAAGCTCTAGTTCCAGCTGACTCCTCTTCGTTGTCATTCATCTCTGCATCAACGCCTGGAGCGCCAGGGCCTGAAGCTCCTTGTCCTCTGCTAACCCTCTGTCCCGGTGCTGCTCCTCCTCTTGCAGCCAGCTGCGCCCCTCCTTCGCTCCCTGCCGTGACGCTTCTGACTGACACCAGCCCCTCAGGCGATATCACAAGCCGAGGATCTGATCTGACTACAGCAGACAGCTGCCGACTCTCTGACGCAGGCCTGGGGACTCTAGAGCCAAGCTCGCCAAGGGTGCAGGGGCCTGTTGCAAGGAGGTAGGGGACGATGCTGTCCGTCCAGGACATGGCAGTATGCCTTGAAGCCGTTGTCGAAGCACCGCTTCGTCCCCTCCTTCCTCCTCCTCCGATAGCCGTCGCCACTGGTTGGCTTACGCCATTCTGTTCTAGAACCAGCTGCACCCCTCCTTCGCTCCCTGCCGTGACGCTTCTGACTGACACCAGCCCCTCAGGCGATATCACAAGCCGAGGATCTGATCTGACTACAGCAGACAGCTGCCGACTCTCTGACGCAGGCCTGGGGACTCTAGAGCCAAGCTCGCCAAGGGTGCAGGGGCCTGTTGCAAGGAGGTAGGGGACGATGCTGTCCGTCCAGGACATGGCAGTATGCCTTGAAGCCGCTGTCGAAGCACCGCTTCGTCCCCTCCTTCCTCCTCCTCCGATAGCCGTCGCCACTGGTACCAGCTGCGCCCCTCCTTCTCTCCCTGCCGTGACGCTTCTGACTGACACCAGCCCCTCAGGCGATATCACAAGCCGAGGATCTGATCTGACTACAGCAGACAGCTGCCGACTCTCTGACGCAGGCCTGGGGACTCGTTGTCCGATCTCGACGAGGGTGCAGGGGCCTGTTGCAAGGAGGTAGGGGACGATGCTGTCCGTCCAGGACATGGCAAGGTTGACGGCTACTGACAGCAGGGAGACGAGAGCGAGGGCAGGGAAGCACGGGAGTTTTATGGACTCTACCCCACCCTCTGTCTACCCCGGTTCTACTACCCCACCCTTTGTATATACCCCCTGTTTGTACCATGATCCACCCACCCAATTCAGCTACCACCTTTCTCACCTACTCTCGTGAGATACCATGTCAGGGAAAACAAGGGCTACACAATGGGGGTGGGGAGGGGAAATTCTCTGAAAGGGGGTGTAAAAGTGAGTGAAAACAGGGGGTGGGAGAAAGGCAGACTTGAGGTGGGGGTACACGGAATCAGGGGTGGTTCGACCGGTAAAGTGGCTGGTCACCAGGTTCCTTGAAGTGACATGTCACGCCACGGTCCGATCGAGGAGTCACCGGGCCTGGCCGGGCCGCCGGGTCGCCGGGTCCCGGAGTCGGGCGGCCCAGTCCGATCCGGGCCCGGGTCCCGGAGTCCCAATCCGATCGGGCCGGGCCCGGCCGCGCCCGGCCCGCCGGGCCCGGCCGCCGGCCGCGCGACCTAAGCCGCGGAGATTTGAACTTGAGGACGCTGCGGCATCAAAAGCAACTTAACTTGACTCGGATGTATAGGAAACGTCACTACCCGGCGTACCACGGTGCCTACCGTCGTCGGTACTACGGTACGGAATCCCGGCCGGGCACTGAAAAGAGTCGGAACTTTCCAAGTTCAAAATTGTACCGGCGTACGGCGGTACTTGGAACCACGCCGTGACGCCGCCGTTGTCGGATACTTCGGATACTGACTCCGTGGATCTTCCTGCGGCGAGTGCAACTTGCAAGCCGTGCCGCCCCGTTGACCGTGATTTCAAATTCGGCGAAATTATGAATGTCCGAGATTGCCAAGTTGATTGAAATGTTGTTTTCAGGGGCCTCGTTACTAGTTAATAATATAACTTGAAAATCACCGAGAAGTTTATCCGCAGTGACCGCCGGCACTGCGTCGGACACTGGCCGGCACTGTGACTCATTGGCAGCCCCCGGGCCCGGGCCGCCCGGCGCGGCGGGGGGCGGGGGCCAGCCGCGCCGCCGGCCCGGGGCGGCCGGGCTGCCGCCGCGTGCGACTGAGACGGTCAGCGGCTCACAGTCACCCAACCGCCGGGGCCGGGGCGGCGGCCGGGCGGCCCCGGCGCCGCCGCCCCGAGACGGTGACCCGGCGGCGGCCGGGCGAAACCGTACTCAGAGAGAAAAGATGAGAGTCGGTCCGGGCGTCGGACAGCGAAACTTGAAACAGGGCCGCCGGGCCGCGGCTGAGTCGGTCGCTGACGCCGTCACGGTGCGGCCGGCCGTGGCCCGGATCGGACGCCGCCGGGCGGAGAGGGCCAGCCTGAGGCTGCCCGGGCCCGGCGGCCCGGGTCGGAGTCTAGCACCCGTAGTAGCGGCCGGGCCGGGCCGAGCAGGCCCGGCGCCGCCCGGGGTGAAGCCTCGGATCAGCCGCCCTACTACTTGCTGGCCCCCTCAGCAGTGCCGCCCGGCGGGGCCGGGCCCGGCCGCCGCCGCGGCCGTCGACCGAGTCGCCGCCGGACGGTCGGATGGCTGCCGCTGAGTGAGCGGCCGCCTCAGTCAGTCACCAACCGTTCACTGCTGGCCAGCTGTGGCGCGGCACTGCAGTCGCCACTGCCAGTCTCAACAGTGGCAGCCTTAGCGGCTACTGGCCAAGCCTCTGGCCCCGCTGTACGGTAACTTTCACTCAGAGCATCTTGCGGGATCACTAATGCCAAGTTCGAGCGAGAAGAGGAAGAAGTTTAAGGTTGAGGGAAAACTTATCATGGCGGGACCCCGGAAAGCAACGCATGGCAGGTCACTTCCGGCTAATGGGGGTGGAGGAGTAGAAGTCTTCGATCTTGGATTGCTTCCATAGCGTTGGGCTTCCCGACTGACTCCTAGAGTTGTCCAGGTTGGAATGTCGTACGAGCCCAATGCTATCGATGGGTTTCAGCTTGCGGATCTTGCGGGGAGTCAGAGAATCTGCCACGTTCATCAGGTGGGGAGGAGGTCGAGTAGCAGGTCGCCCTTACCGTCAGAAGAGCAGGTGTCGGTGAACATCATAACCTCGTGGCAGGTGAGCAGGTCCTCCTCTTTGCTGGGAGGATGGCTCCATGCCCGAGGAACCTCGCTGACACCGCTGTAGCGGCTGCTGTGCGGGGAGAGAAGCTCAGTGTCTCCACGAGCTCCTTCCGCCGAGAAATGCTCGCTGAGCTCGCGGTCGATCGTCCACAGTCGCACTGTCGTGTCGTCGGAGCTGCTGGCCAGCTTCCAGAACTCTTTCTGGCTCCAGGCCACGTCCGAAACCTCCCCAGTGTGGCCCCGAAGCCTCATGGGAGGGAGGAGCGGATTGCTGACGTCCCAGATGTACACGTGGTAGTCGCTGCTCCCACTGATGATGTAGCGGCAGTCCGGAGAAAAGGAGGCCTTGACGTAGAAGGAATTGACAACATGCCCGCTGTAGATCGAGGGTTCCCGCTCGGGGACCAGGCAGTCGAACATGTAGATATGATGATCAGAGCTTGACGCCAGGATCTTCGAATTGGTGTTGTTCACTGAGAGAGATGTGATCCCCCTTGGCCGGCCTGTCGCACTGGCCTCGCGGGAGAGGAAGGAGGTCGGCTTGAAGGTATGCTGTAAATAGATGTCAACTCCTGCTACAACCACGACCAGGCCTCCTACCCGAGACGTCCATCCTCTCCTTAGATCCCAGAATTTGACGCTACCGTCGTTGTCCCCAGCCGACGCTAAGATGTAGTCGTTGATGAAGACCACGCTTGTGACACTGCAAGATGTTGAGTTCTTCGCGTCTTTGCTTTTTCTGCGAGGAGATGTCGTGATGTTCGCATAATTTCGTTTCGCATGCGCTTCAGCGATTTGCTTCGTTGGCCTCCCCGTCTGCTTGTGCGAGTCAGCGGACGCAAGCTGGGACCCTCCTCCTGGACTCACCTCCCCCTGGCTCCTGGTAGTGCAGCCATCATTCTTAACCCTCACATCCCATAAAAAAATAGATCCCTCCCTCGCCCCCGACACCAACTCGTTCTGACTCCCCGGCCTAAACTGTACAGACTTGACGCTGCTCTTGTGGCCTCTCAGCATCAACTTTTCCACAGGTTCATGGGACGAAAGGTCCCAAAGCTTGATCGTCTGATCCCCCGAAGCTGTTGCCAGCAAATCGTCTCCATCTGCCATGACCAATCAGCGGAGACGATGGCTGAGCAGAGGCTCACCGGCTATGGCGACGTCAAAAATTGCATTCCTGTGGCACAGCCACGAGCACATGTTGGACTGAGACTTGGGCTTGGATGAGTCGATGATGGATACACTTCCTTCTTCATCGGCAACCACCTGCATTAAGGGTCACTGCAAGCTACTGCTGCAAGCAATGAGCGAGTCCTACCAGACATGCAGCCCGCTTTGACTTCCCAAACTTGAGACTGAAAGGAGGCGAGCCATCTTCGTTCCCGTACATCTGGTAGGTGCTGGACTCGTCGCTGCACAGCCCTTCCAGGATAGACCTCGGTGTGCAAATTCTTGGGCCACCACATTCCCTGTTCCTGACCGAATATGCAAGCGAGGTCCTGAGGCAGCGTCAGCAACTGTCGTCGCCGAGTCAGCCACTGACTGTTTGCTCCTCCTCGTTGACGGCACATGGGTAAAACAATAATTGTCATTATAATACACGCTACCTGCAAGGCATGTATGAGCACACAAAGACAGCAGAGGCAGGGGGGGAGCAAGGGAGGGAACGAGGAGGGGTACTCACTGGTGGGAGATGTCACTCTCAATGGAGTCTGCCCGTAAGGATCCAGGGAAGGAATCACGGAGAATCGCGGGAGGTTTGCCACGAAGGCTCCCACGTCCGGTTCCAATTCCATCGGGCTTCCCACGGCGCCCATCGATGCTTCGCCTTGCATCCACCCCGCTCACCTCGGCTGTTGTGACTGTTGAACCAAGGTCAGCACAAGGAGGATTCGGCACAACGGGCCACACAGCAGGACAAAGCATTCTGTAGAGTGATGAGAGAGATGAGAGGGTTTGAGTGAACAAGGAGAAGAACGAAGAACAAGCATGCGATGGTAGGGTGACATGGATGAATGAAAGGGCGCCAAGGCAATGGCTGAGCAGACTCGAGACAATAGGCTGAGTGCAGGAATCCTAGTCTGTATTGACCTACCACATACCAGATACATAGAGGAGGGCAGTGTATCCGTCAAGCAATCAAATCAAAACCATGACTGGGATGTATACACCTTATGGACCTTAATACGCGAAATGACACGAGCTATGAACCTAACAGGATCGCATACACACTAGGGCACATAACGAGGCAAGGAGAGTACACCGGCCACCAACAACTGGCAAAGAAGAGGACATGGAAAGACCCTCTTAAAGGTGACAGATCGAGTCGAGGAAAGGGCCTAGCTGACACAGGCACGAGCTCGAGACACGGACGGGCAGAACGAGAAAACATTTGAGCATAGACAAAGAAAACAGAGGAGGTAACCGCACAGACAATGAAGATAGAAATGTTCGAAGAAAAAGTAGAATTATTTAGGCGGGTCGCACGCAGTACGGAAGGGATGTATGGCGGTGGGGGGAGGGGTCGAGAAGGAAGAATCCGCGAGAGCACTGATTCATGAGCAGAGCAACCAAACACGCCGAAGATTGGAGGATGGATGAAAGATTTCGAGTGGAAACGTGATGGTCTGTGATGTGTAAGGCTAGGAGGGGGTAAATGAACGGGGTCGTCAGCACATATGAGCGAGGAGAGGGGGCGGGATCTGAAGGGAACCCTCGCAAAGTTGGCAAGCAGACAGAAAGAAGCTTTGAGCGGAAGGAGGCAGCCATCACGCAGGAAGAGAACAAAGAAGAATTTGAAGATGAAGAGAAAGTTGTCTCAGGCGGGGAGCAAGGCAAGAGGCGCTGCAACAGCACAGGAACCGCCATGTTGAGCGGCAGTGGCGGGGATGGCGGGGGCGGGAATTAGTCTTTTGAGGAGGGGTGGGGGTGTGCTACTTGGTCAAGAGGGGCTAGGTTATTTTTGAGGAAAGTAGGGTGGGGTGTCAACAGAGGGGGTAATCGACAAGGGGGTACTTAAAAGTTTCGTCATGGCCCATCAAGCTACTCAAATCCATAAGTATGCTAAAAGTCAGAAAGGTCTATCTCATAGGAAGGACCTGAAATGTAACCTGATGGGTTGAGGTGCTAAAAGGATGTTCAAATTTGGGGTGGGTGGATCTTGCGCAGTGAGGAAATGACATGGGTGGGGTCAACAATTCGCGTAGGTCAAGGGGGGTGGTGGCTGAATGGCCTGGAGGGCGGTAAAGGCAAGACTTTTAGCATTTTTTATTGAGATATAAAAGTTTTATATACATATAAAAAGTTATTATTTTTAGCATATGTAATATATGTTTGTTTTTGTTTGAATGAAAATATTTAGTTATCATCTCGATATGCACCAAATGTAAAACCAATACGATGATATCATTTATGAATTGGTAGCATAAACATATATATATTATCTTATTGAAAAGTATATATTTATGTTTCTACTGATGTTATTAAATATATATTATTTATTATACAAGTATTTCACTCAATTATCATTAAAAATGGCTCTCGTCGATGGAAGAGCACCCCTCTTTCTCCCACAAAAGAAGGGGTGAGGGGGGGGCTCCCCACCCGTTATCTGGGAACGGTGAAAGTTTGTGGTATTTTTTCTTTCTTTGTCGAGACTCTCAGAAAAGACGAAATGCGGGCGGGAAAGAATGGAGGGGGGAGTGCGGAGGGGGGAGGTGATGGGTCGTGAGCAGCGACAAGACCCAAGATGATTGAATATGAAGCTTGTATGACCAGAATGCACAAAACAAAGTCGATCAAAGATCTACAGGAAAATCACCGCGTTCCGTTACGTACCACAACGAAAGGAGCCCGTCGGACGAGAGCAGGTGGGTTGGACCAGCACCAATGTCACCAACGGCCTCGCGAGTCTCTGATATGGTAGAACAAATTAGAGTTTTGTACTGACAGAACATACGATCATTAGCTATCAAGATCTTTGTACTGACACATACTATCGGTCTCATAATGCTCACTACAGTCAGCGGCGTGCATGAAGCGGTCCATTTGTTCTTGGGCTCTCATGTAGGTTTGGTGTAGGTTTGGTAAAGAATCAAATGCGATATATGAAAAGTGTCGGAGAACTAATAAATCCTTGCAAAAGAGATAACACTTTATCCTCCAACCTTAGCCCGTCTTTGTTGTCGTTGACACCTGATTCTAAGTTGTTCTTCTCTTGTCCAATAGGATTCGAAACGATGAACTAGATGTAGGAAGCGGAGAGCACAACAACTGATGAGGAGCTGAAACAGGTGTAGAAGGGATCAGGAGAGCAGAAAGTCAGAAGAACAACAGGAGAGGAGGAGAGGTGAGCAAAAAGCTTTAAACTTTATTCTCATGGAATGAAAGCGGCGCCTCCTGCAGAGAAATCTAGGAAGGAGTGCCAGTAGGTGATAAGGAAAGGAGGAAGCGAACGAAGAAAGGAGGAATGAAAACAGATGGGAGAGTCGAGATGTAAGATTGGGTGGTGAGTGGGCAAGGGTATGGGGACAGAAGGCGAGAGGACGGAAGGGTCTCGCTAGTTCCTGGACTTCTTAGTCATAGGCATTGACGTCGGCATCATCATCCCCGGCCTGTGCTTTCAATGAGTCGAGCAGAAGCCCAGCAAGCATCCCTCACCTTTTCTGCCCCGCCTGCATTGCAAGCGCCGGGTTCATCGCCCCCATGGACGACGCCCCAGTGGTCGGCATCGTGTTCATCGGCATCCCCGGCTGCAATCCAGCGCTGGTCGTTCCGACCCCGCCTGTTGCCATTCCGGCCGATGTGCCGCTCATAGGAAGAGCTCCAGTTGCCGGTAGAGCCGATGTGGGTGTGGGGATGGAGGAGGTAGCAGCCGCCTAATGGTGAGGACGGTAAGAGGAAGGGGAGGGGAGGGGAGGATTTCCAGCACCTGCGATGCAGCGGGGGCTGGCTGCTGGCTGTTTTGATCTATTCGACCCACATGAGCGGTTAGGGCGCACGTGCGAGACAAGGCGGAAGGAGTGGGAGACCCCGTGGGTGAGGTCAGGCAAGCAGAAGAGCGGAAGAGAAAGAAGAACGAGGACAAAGAAAGATGGAGAGAGCAGCAAGGAGGCATCATCACCTGCTGGCGGAGCTGCAGCCTCCGGCTGAAACAACAAAGACGCGTCAACAACAACAAAATTCAGAGGTACAACCGACCGGGATGATGATGGGGTAAAGTTTTGAAATCGACTTCAGCATCTTCTCTACCATCTGCACGTCTCTTCAGTCCAGCAAGTCCAAACTTCCATTTATCGCCGGTCACCTTCGTGTCCTCAACCTGCTCCCTGTCTACTGCTGCAAGAAGCTTTCAGCACGCGGCGAAAAGCAAGAAAACAAATACCTTGTGGCTTCAAGGCTGAAGCGCCGAAACAAGTGATCTGAGAAGATGTAAGATAATCAGCAAGCACCTGATACATCAGACAGAGAAGAGAGAGTTTTGCACACATCAAGAGCATAAACTAGGAGAAGGAAACATGCAGACAAGCGATGAAATGGAAAAAAGCTTTACCGGCTTCCATTCCTCGGATTTCTGGTCACTCGGCTTGTTCAGCACGTGACCAGCTGTGAGGCTGATGGAGAAATTCAGACAAGCGATGCACAAATATGCAAACAAATCCAGGCAACCCGAGCAATAAATGTGAGAAAACAGACTCTCGTTCCTCACCTGAACGAATAATGTGAAGAAGTGTGCTCGAGAGCTTTCTTCAAGAAGTAGGAAATCATCTGATGAAAATGTGTTATTTGTCGTATCTTTTTAATGCAGATTGAGCACCTGAAGCTTTGAATCGACAAGTTTCTGTATGGGTGGGCACATGTACACCCATCTAGGTTGAAAATGAGAGATGTACAATGCACCTTCACAAGTCTTACCCATCTGCAGTCACGTAGTATGACGCCAGGCGTGTCTGTTCAGTGCGTTGAAATTGTTGAAAGGTCATGAAATCAGAATACAATAAAAAATCCAAAAAGAAAGAGAGATATTGAAATCAAAGATGATAAAGCATAGAGTCCAGGCAAGGAAAACCAAGTTGAACAAACATCAAAGATTACTTGGGAAGAATGAAGGAAATACAAACATTGACACCAACGCACCTGTGAGATACCATCCTTGGCATTAGGATCCTTCACTCTTTTCACTTTGTCGATGACGTACACCCCCTTTCCCTATCAACAACACAAAAACATGCAAAGATACCAACACCGACAATATGAGGAAAGCAGGAGAGAGCAGCAGAGCACAAAGAAGCAAGTCAGAAACCAAACTTGGTCACTGCATTTATCTTGTACCTGAACATCAGGGCGGGCCATCTCGAAGTCTATTCCCGCCATCCGTTTCAAGTATTGCCTGTGCAGCGTGTTGCACATATCCGCAAAGCAAAGTGATGCTATCTCACCTGTCCATCTTGCCGCCCGAGAGCTGATTCTGCATGTTGAAGTGCGCAGTGAGACAGGATGGATCGTACCTGCGACAAGGAGAGAAGAACCCCCAGTAGAGTTAGAGTATGCGACAAGAGTGCGGGAGAGAGCATGGAGAAGGAAGTGAAACAAAGGTGGACCTTGCAAGAGGAAACACTTAACACTTGCGCGATTCAAGCTTACCAGTGCGAGTTAGAGAAATAATCCAAAGCAGATGCATCATTGAGTATGTTTTCAGACAACCATCTGATTCCTTTCGAGTTAATATCCCCTCAATCACAATCCGTCTCAGTTGCCTGTCGTCGCGCCAAATCTGATGGAGGTCAGATTCGAAATCCACAGCTGCCGGGTCTGAAACACGCGACAAGTAAGATGTCTTCATACAAAAAAGATCAAAGGTAGAGAACGCTAAGTATCAGCCTGATTCTCAAGTGAAGAATGCTACTGTCCTCTTATCCGGGTGCATGCCTGTCTCTCTTGTCCTTTTCTCCTGCTCTCCAAGTATCTATCTCTTGCTCTATCTCTTGCTCTATCTCTTCCTCTGTCTCCATCTCTGTCTCCATCTCTGTCTCCATCTCTATCTCTATCTCTTCCTCTATCTCTGTCTCTATCTCTTCCTCTGTCTCTGTCTCTGTCTCTGTCTCTATCTCTGTCTCCATCTCTGTCTCTATCTCTTCCTCTATCTCTGTCTCTATCTCTTCCTCTGTCTCTGTCTCTGTCTCTGTCTCTATCTCTGTCTCTATCTCTATCTCTATCTCTTTCTCAGTCTCTGTCTCTGTCTCTGTCTCTGTCTCTGTCTCTGTCTCTATCTCTATCTCTATCTCTATCTCTATCTCTTTCTCAGTCTCTGTCTCTGTCTCTGTCTCTGTCTCTGTCTCTGTCTCTGTCTCTATCCTACTCAAGTTGACTTTGCTCTCGCTCTCGCTCCTTTGCTTGTCGTGAGTTGCCTTGCTGTTTCCTCTCGGCTATCACCCCCCAGTCATCAACTCTCAGTTCATTGCCTCTCTTTCCCATCATCGTTCTTCTCTTCTCAGCATCATCTCTGACCTCACTGCCTCCTTGCGATCTGTCGCCCCTGCCTCCCCTCCCACCATGGATCCATTACCTCCGCCTTCAGCTGCCATGGCCCTTTACCGTTACATCAAAACTGTAACGCTCGACGAGACCCGGCCGGGCCCGGGCCGGAAGGTTCAAATGCTCTTGAGTGTGACCTTCGCCAATAGAGAGGGTGGGGTGGGTACGGAGTAATAATCCTGGCAGGGTGGGGGGGTAGGTTCAACTTTTGAGCTTCGTCAAAACGTGGGTAGGGTAGTCTGTTGGATAGGATTTCAAATAGAGGATGGGGGCGTTGATGGGTAGGGTGGGGTGTAAGACATGGTACCGGTGGCTCCCTCCCATCAATTTCAAATGATTGTCGACCACCCGTGGTATGGCCTACCCCACCCTCACTTGACAGATGGTTAACAGTATCCCTACCACACGGACAGCGAAAACCACCCCTGCTCCTGGCGCCCGCTATTTCTTCATGTAGGGGATAACCGCGCCTCTCGCTTGTGCTGCTCGGCTGCCTCTACCCCTGTACACATCCTCCTCCTGATCTCGTGTACTCACTTGCCCTTGGTCTTGTGCCAACTTCTCTCCTGCCGTCTCCTCTTTCTAGTTTGCTCTTCTTGCCTTCCCTGCTTCTTCTCACTTCAGTGATTACGTCAGGTGCAGAGTCTTAGGTGTCCTTGTGTCCTTTGCTCCTGCTCTTACCTTGCATTCGCATTTCAATCATCGTGATGAATGCGGGTATGCCCTTCCTCGTTAGTATCTTGGTATTTTGAATCTCCTCCTCCAACCTCCCTGCCATGTCATTTTTGGCGCGATAAGGACCAGAAGGAGATGGTGAGGAAGAGTAGCAGGAAAGCTAGAAAGCATTTTCGCAAACATAGGTGCAAGCATATTTAAACTGTATTGGGATGATTTGGATGCGCAAGTCGAAGCAATTTAGATGATATGGGGGTTCGCCATGAGTAGATGTAATGTTGTATATCTACCGATATAGCCGAAGTTTGTTTTCCATGATTTTGTTCTGTATTGTTCTTATCGTACGCCACGATGCCCATGTTTCGTATGAAATGGAACAGACTCTTTTCTCTCGCTTCAGACTCGCTGAGTTCGTATATCTCCCGCAATTTGCAATATCGAGGGCGAGCTGCTGAATGTCCCTCCATCTGATATGATGAGATCCCCCGACCTTCGCTCCTGCTCGGTCTAATCTCTTCTCTGCAAGCGCCCATGCAGGGGCAGTTCCATTCATCGCCTCAAATGGTAGTCCATACTTCAACCTCAGCGATGGCTTCCGGCGGTGCCAACGTTGTGAACTCCGTGCATCGTGCGACTTACAGTGCACAAGATCCTCAGATGTATCACTCTAGCTCTGGTGAGCTGCTTTGCGAATTTATGTCTTGAAGCTGAGATTTGAATGTTTCCAAAGACATCTATAGGCCGCAAATTTCCACCTACACCCTCCAACCAAAAGCACCGACCAAGTAGGGTTTGCTTTGTTTGTTCTGGGATTTCGATCATGACGTTTTTTAAGTCTACATATATCTTACAGCTCACAAGGCAAACTATCGTCATCCAGGTTCGTAAAACTCTACATTGTCAGACGGATGTTGGAAGTGATTGAGCCGGAAACAGGGATCGTCAGAACAGTATAGGACCGAGTCAACTGCACGTCAGTCAGCAGGTGGGTCTGCAATGAGATCTCTCCGTTGCAACTAAATTACCGTCAGCTTCACTCTTTCGACCAGGAGAGGCGATTATCGGTAAACCTCCTCTTGTGGTTTCAACCATCTTGTTGACACGCGTCTTTGTGAAGTCTCACGATCTTCATGACCTGCAGCCTACTCCTACCTCTCCTTCGCTCTATTCTAGTGGTCGCAATACGACAAGAGTGTCAGATTTCAACTCCGCAATCATTCAGACTCAAAGCGACGAGAAAAGTGCCAACGCAATCAGGTCAAGCTCCGATCGACTTCCAGCTGTGCCTGTGAGTTTCGACAAGTTCAGCTCGTCTCTGGACATGTCTAGGAACGGACAATCATCCATCCATGATGTCGAAACTCAAATTAGCTCCCTCAAGATGGAGATATCCGGCCTGAATCGTGTGCACCAAGAAGCTGAGGGCAGAGCATCCCGGTTAGCTTCGGACAATGCTGCATTACAACAACAGCTGATGAGGGCAGATGAGAGGGAAAAGAAACTGAAGGCTGAGATGAGTGAGATGGAGCAGAGGTTGAAGAAATTAGAATCCAGCTCCTTCAACCACGACGGAGCGAAATATGGATCGAATGACGTTGGCAGCGGAACGGATCGGTCGTCGGACACAAAAGCGTCCGACCGAGACGGCAAGGTCGTGATGTCTCCCTCAGCAAGGCGATTAAACGGAAGCAGTTCAGACTATGATGAGAGAAGGGAAGGTCAAGTAATTGATGAGTTGAAGCGTCAACTGCGGCAGAAAGACAAGGAGATCGAAGAGGCCTATGCAAAGATTGAGATCTTATCTCGAAAGCTTGTTCATGTGAATGGGTTGCAAGCAAAGATGATCTCGTCTGAAAGCAGCGCGGGGAATGGCAGCGTTTCGAATGACAGTGATCTAGAAATCCAAAAGCTCAAAGAACGAATCAAGATTGTCGAAGAGGCTCTGCGGGCGATGCGAGATGAGGTTTGTCAGCAGGGCTCGAGATGGCTGCATGTATGCTGACAAAACGTGATGTCATCAGGCTCGCGAGCATGTTCTTGCCATCAAATCCAACGACATCTCTTTGAATCGAATGCTCGGATCAGGTGTTTTTCTTGATTGTCTCACCAGGGGCGCATGGTGAAGGCACGTGCCAGGATCTTTTGCTGAGGTTCACAGTGCAACTTGGCAGCTTCCATGTGCAGTGAAGAGACTGAAAGACAGCGTACGGAACAACAGGTCACCAGTGAAGAGCCTCTGACGCCCTCCTGACACTTTTTGATAGATATGAAGTGCAGAAGTTTCAGCGAGAAGCATATCTGCTGCGCTCGTTGCTGCACCCAGGGGTGCTCCGAGTCTTTGGGTGAGACATCACATTAACTTTCCGTGCATGCCGTGATGTGCAGTTTTCAGCTTCTGTAAAGTAGATTTCCTGCTTGTGACTGAGATCGTGAGCGGCGGGTCACTGCACAATGTTATCCACAATGCTCCATACAAGCCGATGAAGGTTGCGCTGCTGAATCTCTAATCCTCACCGAGCCTTGACATGCACAATTTTGGCAGCACATGGAAGTGTTAGAATATTCCGCCCAGGTGCCTTTCAGACCCTCCCTTGCTCGTCCTCAAGTTCTCCCCGTAGGTTGCGGACATCCTGCGGTACCTGCACCTCTGCAACGTAGTCCATCGAGACATCAAGCCTGAGAATTTGCTCATTGACTCCAAAGGTGAGAGGGTAAGTTGAAGGATCTCTCGCTCATAATGTTAGCAGGACTGCTCAAGTTGGCAGACTTCGGTCTAGCGTGTGAAAAGAAAGGGAAGTACATTCAGGTAGCCTTGCTGTCTCTTGGCCGTGAACCTTGCTGAGGTTTCTTGCAGACAAGAAGCAACTTGGCAGGAACCCCTCGCTACATGGCACCAGAGTCGTACAGGAACGCTGAGCGTTGACGTCGGGACGACCTTCTCTTTGACGACGCTATTTTGAGCAGGGACGAGAAGTGCACAGAGAAGATTGACATTTACTCCTTGTCAATGATGATGTGGGAGATGCTCACGTCCAAGGTGTGTACACATATATCTCCTCGTATCCCTCACTTCACCCGCTGCCTGTTGCCTCCTCCTCGCTCACTGAACCACGCTGCTTCTCTCACTGACCATGCAATATTCATCATGCAGCTGCCGTGGGACGGCTCAAACTTTCAAGACGTGAGGCAGGCAGTGGCTCACCTGGGGGAGCGACCTCCCATCCCAGCAGACACGCCTCTACAGTTGGCGGACTTGCTCAGGTCTGTGCTGGAGGGTCGAGTGACTCGCATCCTCAGTGGCTCGCAGAGACTGCTGGCATATGGATCCCGAGCAGCGGCCGTCAGCAGCGGCAGTCCTGCAACGCATCGCACAGATGGGCGTCAGGTGAGAGCGTGAGAGGAGGCTCATGGATGTTGATGGGTGAGTCAAGATCCAAATTTCTTGAGCTACGAGAAAGAAGGCAGAGAGAGGAGAAGGAAAGAAGAGGTACCCTCCTTCGCTCTGCCCCGTTCCCTTCCTCTCGATCACCTTCTCGCCCTCTTTCTCTATCTCGGTCTACCTCTTTCCCTTCCTCCTCCCTCTCACTTCCTCACTGGTTGTCTTTCACAGAGAATCGCTCCATTGGTATTCAGCGCGAGATGTCTCGCGAGCTTCCTCCTGAACCTGTTCCTCCGCCAGTGAGTTTCGCATCTCCACTGATCTTATCGTTGTACCCTTGACCTGGCCAGTGAGCAGGGGCAAGGGCGGGACTATCAGATCGCCAACTGCTAGGCTGAGGTCGTAGCCTGCTCGTGTAATTTACCAGCCAGTCAGCTTTGAGGGTCCCGCCGGAGTCGGGAGGGAGCCAACTCCCCGGGCCCGGCGGCGGCCTGCTCTTCCGATCGGATCATCTCAGTCCTTGACTCTCTATGTGAAGTAAAACCTCTTGGCGTCGCCTCGTTGCATCCAGTTGTCGTTTAAGATGATCGGGATATTCACCGTCACTGGGCCCGTGAAGCCTACTAGGCTGGTACTTGGCACTGCCACTGTCGGGGGGGCGAGCGGCGGCTACTATCACGGTTCCAACTTGGGTTCCGCCGGACCGTGAGTGCGGGCCTCCCGCGAGTGTGGCTTCAAGTTACAGCGCCAGACCCAACCCGGCGTTGAATCACACGCCGCCCGGATGGTTTTTGACTCGTTGAACAAATGGCCTCACTCAGCCTAGCCACTGAGTGTCATGTGATCCAGCCTCGTGGGCTGACCGGGGGGGCTCGGCGAACCGGCGTCGTATCGGACTCCGACTCGGACGAGTTAACTGGTGGCAACGCCGGGGGGCCACCCGGTGGCCTGGGCCGGGCCGCCTGGTGAACTTGTGATTTCAAGTTTCCGCCGATCACTCCGGGAGCCCGGGAGTCCCCCGGGGCCGGGCGGACGGTCGCCGATGCTTTAACTTAACTTTGAGTAAACGACTGATTTTTTTTTCAAGTTTATTACTGAGCCGGGCCTGATGAGAGGGCGGCCGAGGCCTTGAAGCCTAGTAGGCCCGGCCGAGGCCTTGAAAGTTTACTGTCCGTTTCATGCCTTTTAACGGTCCGAGTCTATTTCCGGGACTCCTGTGAAGGTCCGAGTGGCCATTTCGGCAACTGCGGACAGGGCATAGTTGCAGAGCGCAGTTCGATGGCAGCTGCAGTACAGCTGCTAATAGCACCGTTGAATTATCATCAGGCTTAGCTGCCTTTGCAGAACAAGACAGTGACATCATATCACTTTTGTTTGATGTTTCATGCTTCAAGAGCATCACCAGCCGCTTGAGCTGAAGAAACACTGAGCTACGTCTACAGCTTCAGTAGATTCGTTCAGTGAGAAAGAGCTGACATGAAACCTTTTGACTAGTTGTTCTGGCCGTGTTGCAACAGACGTTGGAAGTGAATAACTAAGGGTTCATATGGATATGTTTCTTTTGTTTGTATTGCTGCAATAACACAAGACTGCTTCGCAAGTTAAAGCGCATTTACAAACATGTCTGCATGTTCTCAAACACTTACTGATAGCTTTTGAAACAGACATGTTCAAGACTATTCGAGAAACTCAGGAGCTCTTTGAGAGTTTTCATGGTGCTCTTGCGTTGTCATGGTCCCTCAGTCTGACCGATATGTCAAGATCCCTCATCTCCCATCTTCGAGGAGCTTCAGTCCACCAGCTTCTGTGAGGCTGATATGGGAGACTAGCCATGAGACTGAAACTTTCTTGAAGCTCTCCAGGATTACGCGAGCCAGTACGAGCAGGCGAGGAGCGCCTACCTCGAGGTCAAGGCGAGACTGATCAATCTCGAGCTCTGATGTTGGCATGCAGGCAGCACAGGCTGTGAAGATGGCTACCGGCCCCTATGAAGCAGCTCGTGACGCGTACGTGGCCGCTGGTACGTGTCTACCTTATGCACAGAGCTCACGATGACGGAGATGGCAGCTGCTACCTACACCAAGTCTCTGTACGCATAAGCAGCTGCTGGACCTGAATGTGTGTAAGGGAGGCAAAAGTGGTCCAAACATGTGACATAAGGAAATAGAGATATAACATGCACCAAAGATATGCCTCCTGAACATGTCGCACGAATATCAGCCGCAGAGGTATGGGTTGGGCAGCAGACAGCCATCGAGAAAAGAGAAACAGGAGTGTCGTAACAGCAGCAAGAGTTCGCTGCAGTTGACGAGACATGCTTGCTCAGTGCGACCGAGATTATCATCGGAGCCGTCCGCTCATTTACTTCATCTTGACTCGCCTGACCGACGTATCACATCGTTGACCGCCTACATTCTTGTGCTTGATCTCACTGGCAATGACGTAATGATACCAGTGTTGTCGGCATTTCAAATCTAGAAGTGGAATTCGTTCATTACCATCGGCATGCCGCCAAAAAAAACCGTACTGCTGTCGTCGTAAACTCCCTCGCTGAAACAACCCGACAAACTGGTTGCAGGATGGAAGAAAAATCCACTGAAATGCCGTGATGAGACACTTGGAATACCAAGCCGAGATCTGAGTAACTTCACATTGCCGACTTTTGAATGACATGTAAAACTTCTCTCATGTCGTTTGACGCACGAACAAAACAGACTCTCGTTCGAATACGACATGGGTATACATGAGTCGACCATTTCATAAGCAAGCCTCATGCTCATATAACTTCAAGGCACAGAGACGCACCATGAATGCTCATCTGAGATAGAAGCGTCTTCCCTTCCTCCTTCATGGTTCTCCTCTCTCTCCTGCTTCGTTGAGGTTCAAGCGCCTTGACCTGCACCCTGATGGGACTCTCCTTGCAGGTAGAATACGAGCCCGCCGCAGCTCCTAATTAAGCGAAAGAAAAATCCTTCGAGCAATAGCGTCATCTTCTTCATATACATTACTATGCTGTCCTTGCAAATATTATCGGGGCAGACCCTTTATAACGTGACAGCACGGAGGCCGGGATGGCAATGGAGAGCATGACGACGAGACGGAGGGTGATGGGGGCAGTGGCCGTGAGCCTGTCGATGATCCATCCTAGCATGGCGTTCTCTTACGCTCCTCTCGCTCCTCTCGCTCCTCGTGCCTACTGCTCATCACCCGTCGCCTCTGCGAGTGCGAGCTTACGTCGACCAGCATCTCCACGAGTGACCTTGAGCACGTCAAAGGTGTCTCAAAAGCAAGGTGAGGGGTGAAGCTTGCATGCCCGAGCTTATTCTCACATCATCACTTCTTTTAAAGTGACTAGAATGATCTCTTTGATAGGCAAGCGAGGGATGCTGCTGCTAAGAATGTCGGACAAGTCCTCGCAGGAACAACTCATGGACGACCTCATCCTCAAGATGGCGGAAGCAGCTCCATACGAGCTCCCCAACATCGCGAGTCAGGTTCTTCTTGCCTTGCCCTTCTCGTCTTGCCTCACATCCTTTCAGAACCTCAAGGAGATCTCAAGCCCCAAGTTCTTCCTGCGCATCGCTTCCATGAGCGACGAGTCACAAGACGAGACCAGGAAGCAGCAGCTCTCAGCGCTCGCAGACAACCTTGTGGCAACGCTGGAAGTAGTTGTTCAGAGAACTGAAGAGAAGCTTGACGATGCCGCTGAGCTGATCCAGGGGATCCTCAGCTCTGCGGCTGAGCCCAACGGCGAGTTCATCGTTCCGTTGAAGGCAGACAAGATCAACACCATGAGGAAGAAAGTCTCGGAGAAGAAGCAGAACCTGGGGGACGAGGGGGTCCTCGCCACTGTGTTTGCCTACATGAAGAAGGCCAGCGAAGATCGCCTTGACGGGATGGTCGTGATCTGTCAGAAGCTCCTGCAGATGTGGGCGGCGGAAGAACTTCTGGCTGCAGGCACGAGCGACGAAGTTCTCGGTCGGATTCTCCGAGCCGACGCTGACCAGTGGGGGTCTTTACTGGAGGAGGTGAGAACGATAGAGGCTGAGGCGGGTTGTGAGGGCTCGTCCCTTAGGTGCTCAAGGGTGAAGCCCCTCAGACTGACAAGGACACGCTCTCGGCCTCCGTGCAGAGCTGCGTTGAGAAGGTTGTCCTGCAGAAAGCGAGCGGAAGGTGATGAGCTGTTGCTGTTGCTGTTGCTGTTGCTGCTAATGGTGGTGGTGATGGTGATGATGAGGATGAGGATGAGGATGAGGATGAGGATGAGGATGAGGATGTGGATGAGGATGAGCTGATGGTGGTGGTGGTGATGATGCTGGCGGTGGAGATGCTAATTGTTGTAGTGGTGGTGTTGGAAATAATGATGGATTGATGATGATTGGGATAGCGATGATGATGAGGAGTGTCATAATTCCTTGGACATGGGTGATCTAATCGATTCTCAGTTATGGCCAACGCGTGCAAGCTGAATTTCTGCGAGAGCTAATGTCAAAGATCCGTGAAGTCTCTGCTGAGGCTGCCAAGTGATCATAGCAATATTCATTTTACATAATTGAGTTTCCTACACCACAACTTGCATGGCGGAATGTGGAGTTCACATCACCAAAGGTCCTCGTCTTCGCACTGCCCGATAGGCGACGCTATAAACGATCTTACCGGGGTCAGTCCTCTTTGAGTTCCAATCCCAGAAGTAGAAGTTCTTGTTCACCTGCAGTCTTTGTGAGCAAGTCGAAGGCAGACTGTCGGCCCCCTACCTCGTCAAATCGCATGCACGCAAGGTCAAAAGCAAAGTAGTCATAGTAGCTTCCAAGATCAGAAGACCACTTCAAGCTGTGAGCACAAGCATCAAAACAAGGGTCGGGGCACAAGGCGAGGTAGAGCACCATGGTCTGTTGAGGGAGGTGTCTTGCTCTAGATACTCCTTTGTCAGCCAGTCCTTAGTTGGACTTATCCTCGTGCGGATGACAGCCATCAGGTGAGGTCCTATGCACCACCAGCGCTTCTTGTTTCCCTCCACGGCCGATGGGGGAAGCGAGCCGTTGAATGCATGATGCGTCCTCCACATGTGCTCGATCTCGCTGGTTGTGATAGTGATTCTCTGCCCTGGTTTGAAGTCGCACTGAACAGGCCTGCCGTCCTGCACTTCCTTCCATGACACAGGCGTGTATCCTTTCTCAGGCCCGAAGTTCCACCGCCAGAAGTGAAACTCGCGCTTGTGTTCATGGAACTTGAAGCACGCAAGATCCGATTCTCCGTTGGGGAGATAGTTGACACAAGGCTGCCGCACGATGGCTTCAGGAATCAAACAGACCCAGACCCCGTACTCGAGGTCATGGTTGCCGTGATGGTCAAATTTATCGACGCCTCTCAGGGAGTCTTGGAAGGCAAAACCTGTCTAAGGTCAGGGCGGATACAACAGACAAGAGACGGAAGAAGCGGCAAGTAGTCACAGTAGGAGGAGGGAGTGGAAAAAGAGAAGAGTAGCGAGAGAAGAGTAGCGAGAGAAGAGTAGCAAGTACACAGAAGCTACCCATGGAGTCAGCCATGATGACCCAAGTCCATTCGATGACGACGACGTCGCCTTCTCTAAAGTTGCATTTTGGGAGCGGGCGAGGAACAGGAATGTAAGCCCAGTTGAGCTCGTTCTCGCTCCTTGCGGCAGTCATATTGTCGAAAAGTTCATGCTCGTCCTCAAGCTCCTCGTCTCCGGCCTCATCCGCGCTGGAGTGGTTGTGTACAACACCGCCGATGTTGTGCAAGGACCCGGGATGAGAGACATTCACTCTGTGAGACGACGAGGCCGGAGGAATCAAACTTGACCCGAGGCCGCTGAGAGCGTGTGTGACGATAAGGAATGAGAGCGTTAAGATCAAGATGCCGCACAAGCCAATGAGTGCAAACACAACCCACGTGAGCCACTCAAGCCTCCTATCAAGCTTCTGTTGGCCCTTCCCCTTTTCATCCTCTTTGCATTGGACAGGAGGGTCTTGGACTCTCTTGTTGTCTACCCTCTTGATGAACTTGCTCCACATCGCATACACCTCCTCCCCTGCCTTCCGCCTTCGCATCACACCTTCACTGTCGTGACTTTCTTTGCTCGCCGCCTTTTCTCTCAATCGCTCTAAGGCTCTGTTCCGGTATCCATCCATCGTCGCCCCACATGCCCTGCATTTTTGCTGACCAGTCTCGGATAGCATCAGAGTGCAACAGTCGCCGCAGAAGAGATGACCTCGCATGCATTGCCATATGATCCCCTCGATCTGTTCTTGACAGACTTCACACACCCACGCCACGTCTTCCATCATGAGACGATCCCTTGCCGTGCGATTGGATCCGACTACAATCACAGACAGCAAGTCTCAAGCTCTGCCTCTCTCCTCGTCTCGCACGCTTGTCTTCCTTCTCATGCCTCGTTTTGACAACTCGTTTCACAACTGGAAACCTAAACTTCTAACCGCCCCGGCCCGGCCCGGCCCGGCGCCCGACGGGCCCGGCGGCCCAGCGGGACTCTTACTAAGTTCAGATTACACTCTTTACACTGAGGTATGACCGGACAGCCTCACGCAAGCGCGGGACCACAGCCAGAGGCCGCAGCGGCCCGCCAGCGGTGCGAACTGTGTGAGGTGTGAACTGTGTGACTCGGAACTTGCACGATCCTCCCGGCAGCCGTTCAACTTAACGCCAGTACAGTCGCCGCCGATTCCGCCGACTCGCGAGTTCCGAAGTTCAGACCACGGACGGTGCCCTCCCGGTCACACTGAGTGTTAACTCTCACTGTTGAGCAGCTCTGTTTCGCCATCCATGCCCTGGATGCACATCAGCAGGTGGAGAGGACGCGAGAGACGTGAAGGTTGTTCACTGCCTTGCCTTGGGGAGAAGGGTGCTCAACCTGGGAACATTCCGCAACAGTAACAGGCCAAAAATACACTGCGAGAAACAAAATCGCCACGTCAGAGAAAGAGCAGCTCCTATCACGTCCCTCACCAGCGCAAGAATATCCACCGCTCCATGCGCCATGATCACGACGTCACTTGGAAGAGTCCTGTAACCCACGTGACATGCCTCAGTCATAGGCTATCCCAGCAACCTCGTTCCGTCGCTGATCAGCCAGAAGATCGGGTAGACCGTCCATGATAGAAGAACGATGGCAGCCAGCTGAGAAAACCGATTCGTCAGCTAGGAAAAGGGCGAGAGGAGTGTGTATGTGCGGGGGACACTAAGGCACGTCATCTTCTGCGAGGACTAAGAATGAAACGATGAAACCTCTCAGCAGGACAAGGAGATTGTCTGATACCTTGTGGAAGAGCCGACGAGTTGGCCGATCCCTCCTGCAGTCTCGTCACTCTGACCACTCGTCTGGGGTGTACTTACATGCTGCTTGCATCCCATAAGTCCTTCCTGATTGTCCAGGAGCACGCCCAGCAGGAAAGGGAAGCAAACAACCACAGGACCTTGAAGGCACCATCCGCAGTATCACATGACAAGAACAGCACAAGGCAGAGAAGATCAGACCCATTTCAGAGGTGAGAAGATGACAGCGCCTGAGAGAAAGAGAGCCCACATGCTTGCATTGACGAACAGAAGGAGCTGTGAGTTCATGAGAGGTGGTCATGAAAGAAGATGACGGACCTTCTTAACTGGGGCATTGACGGCTGCAATCACACACAGGTTGTATAGTATGCACGAAGTCGAGACCATCATGCTGAGGTATCTAGTCGGAGGTGTCAGCAACAGTTGGTCAATGGCTCGGTCACCTGACGTAGAAGAGAGGGTAGGAGGCAACTTGCATTCCTTCTTCTGCAACTTCAAGTCTGGTCGAGCTGACTTCTGATCAGTCTTTCGAGTTCTTACTCCCTGTATCACCTGAATGCCCATGATGTAGCGGGGCCGGTTCCTCCTGTAGGAGGAGTCTGTCAGATCGGGCAGCACTTGAAACATGTCGAAGACCTATGGGCTTGAGGAAGGAAATCCCGTTTCCAGTCGACATGCAGAGGTAGCTGAAGCCAGCCACCAAAAGAGCAAAGCAGCTTCGTAGGTAAACCAGCTTCTTCCCCTGGTCCTGCTCTATTCGCGACATGCTTCCTAGCAAAATGGCGCACAGAACCATCGCCTGCACGCAGCCGTGAGACTCCATCCTTTCCTTCACTGCGAGTCTCCACCAGAGCGCAAGTATAGAGGATGACGATGCTGAAGGGAGAGAGACCGACGACGTGAAGAGGGTTGGAAACTCCCAAATGCTCAAGCGTTTTCTGAATGGAAGTCTTACTTCTACACCCAGACAGACTGAGAGTACATGAAACGTTTCCTTGAGTATCGCTGCTATACCTGCACTGCCCATCGCAAGATTCCTACACATCTGCAGCGAAAGAGAAATCAACAGAGCATGCGCAGTGCCAGTTGAAGAGCTACGTCCATGGACCCATCGGAGTTGGGATGGAAGTAGGAGATTTGGGCCTGAAGCCATCCAGTACGAGAGGAGAAGGTACGGTCAGACCGAGCAGAGTCAACACATGCAGCACCATGGTGATGTTGGGGCATGAGGGTCTTGGCCTCGAGCAATCGACCGCGATGGCATACCTGTCAATCGTCTCAGCCGGAACTGAGACCGAGGAAGCCCAGCAGGGAACCATTGATGGTAGCGGCTTCCAGTCAGAGATCGAGCTCCATTGACATGTCCTGCAGATCGGAGTCACTAGAGCCCACATCATCGAACACCCTCGCACCACTCGTCGCATCTGCAAAGACGGTTGCCTGCCAGCGGTATGAGGAACTTCCATGCGGGCGGAACTGACCTTGCTTGCTTCCATCAAGTGCTCGCAACCCGCACTAACATTCCCTCTGCCTCCCCTGGCAGCTCAGTGAGCATCCATCAGCACGTCGATGAGTGCTACCAAAGGAACAGACGCTGAAAGGCATCGTTCTCATCGCTGAGGAGGAACACAGTGGCGTGGGAGGGTATCTGCGGTTCGACCTGTGAAGCTTCAGGAAGAGAAGATCGAAAGCCATCATGGCAGACCTGAAATGAGAGGCGAGGAAGCTGATCGTCCTGGTTCTAGCAGCAGGTCACTTCCTCGAACGTTCGATCGCATGGAGCGAAGTTTAGTACGCACCCCTGGTAAGTTGTTGGTAGTTGGAGCGACGCAGAAGCTTCCTAAGAGCGCTGCTTCTTCCCGCAAGCAGACGGGCCATTGGACGGTCGTCACGGTGGTGGACTCTGAGAGTTGCGAGACCTTCACCTGCTGCCTCTCGAGCCCCCGCCATGGCATCGCCTGCCACATCAGCCCCGGCATGGCTGATACCCTTGAGAACGAGGTCTGTGAGACAAGTTTCCCCGGGGCTTGCCGGCATCTTGCGGGCTCGGGACGAAAGTTTTACTCATCAGAGTTCCTAGTGTTCCTGTGCCGGGCAAGTGCCATGGCGCCAGTGCCATCCCGGTCAGCCCGGCCCGGTGTGACGGACCCGGTGGGGGACGTGTGGGGGCCGGGATCTCAAACGATCTAAAAAGGCAACGTTTAAAGGACATTTATACCGGGGACCTTCACAAAAGAAACAACGATTCACTTTAAATTAGTGTTGTAAACTTATCTTCAGATCTATAGCCTTCTGTATTTATAAATCTCATACATTTATAAAACATTTATAAAACACTGACGGTACAACGAAGTTACGAAGGGTATTGCTTCCAATGTTTTTAAAACTACATGAATTTTTTTGAAAATGGAGGAATGAAGGGGAGGGGCGAGGTACACCAATAGGAGGGCAGCAGGAACGGCGAAGCAAGGGCGCGAGAGCAGAGATTTTGACGGAGACGGCAACAAACAAGACAGCACGAGACAGAGTTGATGTATTGTGAACTCACAAACCTTTTTCTGGATCAATCAAGAATGATCGACGTGGCAAGCAGGCAGGAATTGGATGAGTTTGACCAGGCACGAGCAAGAGCAGATTGAAGAAGTGAGATTGGAGTCTTGTATCTTGAAACCTGGGGGCTATTTACCTTAGTGTGTGAACACAGTCCTCGTGAAATCGATTTTCCCCAAGACAGCTGACCATTCGACAAAACCGGTCTGACTGCAGACTTTACTAGGGGAGCAGCTGAGCGGCTGTCGCCATGGGATGCATCAAGAGGGACGCTAGCAATGTTTTTAAATGGATCTTGTTGCTGTGCCTCTGCCTCTCCAAATGCTCACAAGCCTTTCGTCCTGCCCCTCCTGTTCTGGGGGGCGCCACACGACGTCCATACACGGCGTGGGGGGCGAGGCTGGGGAAGCAGGCAGGGGAAACACGAGAGAAGCTGTGCTCTCTCACATACCACAAGCAATCAGATAGTTTGCAGAGAAAACAACGGCAAAAAATCCTTGGGGGGCTGAGATGCGCATGCAAATATGTGGAGCTCAGTGATGTACAGCAACCGAACGAGGAGATGGAAGTCTCTGGGCTGATCGCTCATAGAAAGGGGTTTGGTCGGCAGTCAAAGGTGCAAGAGAAACGTCAATCTGCTGCTGGGTCTGTTTGCTCCTCAGTCTCTGGTACAAAGTTCAGGGAGGGGTCGCTGAGCGACGGAAAGATTCGCCAGGAAGGAGAATTGCGGGTAGAGAGGTTCAAGGGAACTCTGAGACAAGAGGCTTATAGCCATCCTGGAACAAGAGAGACCATGGCCAAGCAGGCAAGGTGGTTTCGTGACAAGCTGGAAGAGGTCAATCTGCTTCGTAACCATCCATCGATTCGTTTCCGTCCGGGTCAGATCGTTTATGGTCAGAGGGAGGACGGGATGCTAGTTCAAGGGACGCTAATCTCGATACGGAGGTGCAAGAACAGACTGCTGTGCGGCAAAGTGAAGGTCTCGGCTGCTGCATCTCATGATGCTGCAGCGGTCGACAAGGAGGAGTTCTTTCGCATCCCTTGTATCTTTCCCGTGGGCGGATGTAACGGTGGACTCGAGACTGAGTTACACAAGATGCTGCAAGGAAGGCGAGAAAGCTCGAGCAACGACGAGGACGAGCTTTTAGAGTGGGTCCATTACGGGGAGAGACAAGATGGTTCTGCTCTCAAGATGTTTACTCAAGATCTGGAGCCTTCGATCGAAAAGATCTTGTTGCGATTAGAGCAAAAGCGAAAACTTCTAATGCAATTGCCCTTCCAAGCTCACAGTATTGAGTTTTCAAAACACGTGAGCATTGTTATGCAGTAAGTTGTGTTGAAGATGCTGACAGTTTGACAGGAACTCATTGAGGTGCGACAAGGTTTCCGTCGTGCGATGGTGCGAGGAGAAACGCGTCTGATGCGCTTCTGTGAAGTGCTTGCAAGGACCATCTATGGAGATTCAAAGTTTAGCAGGAGCTCAGTGGTGACAGGTGAAACGAGAAGAGCGCAGCGCAGGGAAAGATTTACCATCATGGAGCCACTGCCTGACGAGACACTATGGGCGCTCATGCCGGGTCAGGAGCTCGGCTCTACCCTGCTGTCATCTATGCAGGTGCTGCCTATGCAATCGCTCAATCGCGCTCTTCACGGTCGTTCAGCATTTTTGGAGCGTGTTGGGCTGAAGCAGAAGGAGTTTGTTCACTCCGACGACTGGCAGAAGCCCAAGCTGATATCGCACTCGGTGATGTACGAAGCCCTCACTTCCCTTGATGTCGATCGATCGGGAGGAATCCTGAGATTCTCGGGATACAAAAAGAGCGACGACGAAGTTTTTGACATGGTGGCCGACAAGCTTTGCAACCTCGACGCCTTCATAGGGTCGTCGACAACGCGTGGGAGGTACAGCGACTCGCAGTACATCAGGAACATCCTGTCGGTTCGGATTGTTGTTGAGAGTGCGAACCAGGGGAGAAAACTGCTTGACCGCTTACGAGCAACGAGATTCACGCCTGCCGTGCTTCATGATGCCGACATCCCCTTCCTCGGTCGAGAACAAGGGGAGTGCACGGAACGATTGGAGATCTTGGAGGTGCAGGACCATCTTGACTATGCGATGGAATCCGTGAGGAAAGCTCCCTTGGAGCGAGATGAGGAGCGAGCCAACGGCTGGCGGGGCCTCGTGGTGATGGTCAGATGGTGGGGAGTTCCGATCATGATTGTAATCAAGCCGCTCGAAGTGTTCCACCTGGAGCAGGAGCTGTCGACGGCTGAAAGCAGAGTCATGTACAAGGAGAGACAGAACAAGGCTCGATCTGCTGTCGCAAAGCGATGGCCCATCTTCGCTCTCATGCGCTCCCTCGTCCATTGGATGTTCGTCGACGCTTATGCCGACCCTACAGACCTTGAAGCACCTAAGGTTGCTAACACACCAAGAATAACACTGAGAATAACAGATTAGAACAAGATGAACAAAGAAAAATTAACATCCATGTAATGAAATGAAAGAATCAGAAATCTATGAAAATGAGCCCATCGCTGAGCGTGTTCGGTTGATGCCGACTTGTGCCATCGGAGAGAAGGTCCTCAGAGGAGACCTGGTCTCTAACGATCTATCCGCATGTGAAGCGGCGGAAAGAGGAGTCCGATGCGGAGTGACGGTAAGGAAGGAGTTGATGCTCCGAGAAATTTGCTCCTTCCTGAGAATTTCGTTTTCTGCCTGCAGCCTTGCGACTTCAAGTCTCGCGTTCTGTGTGTGGTTGCACTGCTCAGACAGGGCCGACCTGAGCTCTTCCAGCTGTGGAAGAGAATCAGCTGATTGTCTTCACTCCATCCCAGTTGTCATACCTGGAGCTGTAAAACTTGCCCGACGCCTCTTAGCTCTGACACCTCTCGTCTCGCCCACTGCAGGTCAACCAAGCTTGACGACATCTCGTCACTTGTCGAGGCGGAGCTCCTATGGCTCAGTGACATAGAGACCTTCATCTTGCACGCAAGAGCTTACTTGTTCGCTTCCTCTGCCTTCATCGACCGGGCCATCAGCTCGTCGTTCTTCTCCTTCAAAAATCTGTTTTCCATCGACAGCCGCTCGTATGATGCTCGCAGCTCAGAAGCTTGGGGACTCTCACTCATGCTCATCAACCTGAATCAATGGAAACTCTCTTTCAAGTCGAACATCACGATATCTCACTACCTCGCCTCTGCTTCTCGCCGTCGCGACTTTTCAATCGTCAATTCTGATGGGAGCAGGCTTAGAAAGTTCATACCTACACTCATCTCACTCACTCTCAAGCGCCTTTTCCAACATGTCGGCTCCCTCAGATGCTGCTTGCTCAGCTGTCGCCCGTAGCCGGAATGCATCCTCTACATCTTCAGGGCGAATGTTGGAAGGAAGGTCCATGAAACGAGGATACGATCCTTTCTGCTGCTCAAGAGCTCGAATCTCTTCTTTGTACTCTCTGATCTCTGCTTGCAGGCTACGAATCTTCTGGTCCTTCGCCTCTAGCTCACGATCCTTGTGCATCAAGAGTTCGTCCAGCTCCTTGAAGCGGGAGCTGCCTGCCAGCAGAGGTTGCTTTGTATCTCTTTCAATTCCATTAGGGATGTACCTATCACTCATCTGTCCATCCAAGAAGTTTGAGAAAGGTCTGAGGGACTTGAACGACGATAGTCTCATGTCTTCATCTTCGTTGTACGGTGAAGAGGGTCTCAACTGTTCATCGCCATATTTTCTATCTGAGAAGCTGCTTTCTCTGTCCTCATCCGGTGCCTTCATTCTTCTCTCCTGTGGACTCAAAGAGCCTGTCGATCCACCTTTTCGTCTTCCACTCTCTCCCCATCCTGGTCTTGAGGCCCCCGCTGTGGGCCGCCGCCTCGGGAGCATGTCACCGAGACTCTCTCTAAAAAACATCAGTCAAAAACATCATCATGACTGTAACGGATGACTTTTATTTTTTTTGAATTTTTTTTTTAAAGAACTTTGTGCGATCAATCAAGGGAAGATAAAAGACACAAGAGAATGATCCGGCATGGACATGATAAGCATGCCTCATGAAGATGATAAGCATATAAGCATGCCTCATGAAGATGATAAGCATGCCTCATGAAGATGATAAGCATATAAGCATGCATCATGAAGATGATAAGCATATAAGCATGCCTCATGAAGATGATAAGCATATAAGCATGCCTCATGAAGATGATAAGCATATAAGCATGCCTCATGAAGATGATAAGCATATAAGCATGCCTCATGAAGATGATAAGCATATAAGCATGCCTCATGAAGATGATAAGCATATAAGCCGCATGCCTCATGAAGATGATAAGCATATAAGCATGCCTCATGAAGATGATAAGCATGCCTCGTGACTCAGTGACTTGTGAAGATGATACTAAGCCGGACAGCAGTCGGCAGGATTGGGTTTGGTTCTCGCTGTCTTTTCTCTTCTCGCCGTTTGGCCTGTGCGACAGTGTCCGAGGGTCAAGCCTCCTCGACTCTCCGACTCCTGATCGGATTGTCCTCGTACTGATTTCTAACTTAACTTTGAGTAAAGTCTCAAGCATGCCTCATGAATGGAGACGATAAGCATATAAGCATGCCTCATGAAGATGATAACAATGGGTGAGCGTAGTTCAATCGTCGGACTAGGCTCCGTCCGGGGGCCGCCGGCCGAGAGTTCGAGGAGGACTTGGCAAGCCAAGTTGGCAAGTTGGCCCACTGCCTGTGGGAGGCGGCTTTGCCGTGACTGGCCCGGTTGAACTTTCAGTTCACCGACCCTAGCACTGTCCGGATCGGACGGTCCGGCGATCACTGGGAACGTGACCGTACGGTCACAGCCCGCCGATCGTACCGGTACGGCGAGCCTGCGGGCCTGGGCCCGGCCCTTCACGAGCCTGGCCCGAAGCTCCATTCGGAGTCCGGGCCCCGCAAAAAAAAACCAAAAAAAGAATGCCACGGACTTTCCGCTCGCTGGACTCAACTTGAAATTCTTTTTGTCAACGCCTGATGACTTTTTTTGATATCTTCACAGAAGTCATTTCGTCATGGCCAGTAGTATCGGAGCACCGGGACGGCTGCCGCCGGCAATCGGCCGATAGAGAGGTACCGAGACTCGGTCGCGTCAGTTTGATCCTCGGGGCCTAGTAGGACAAACTAGACAAGGTGCATGGCCGCCGGGTGATACGGCAACGGTACTACCCCCATGATTGTATACTAGCCACCCCCCTCACAGCTATGAAAGTTGACATGATATGACGGGTCATGATCGAAAGTTTACTCCTCTACTACTGTTGCGGTCATTTGCAGGGGTGGGGCCACCACCGGCATTGAAAGTCTATTCCCGACCCCTTGTGAAACCCCCCCGTGGTACTAGATTGGGCTGAGGGAAGGGGTCGGTCAACAGTCCTGTAGTAAAGTGTATTATTACTGGTGACCTGGGGCCAGTAGTGAACCCTGGTCCAAACATTACCAAGGACCCCCTTACATGTTTTGAAAATTCACTGGCTTTGTACGAATATGGTAGACATGAAACCTTGGTGTTTTATCTTAGTCTCTTATTCGATACTTTTCTCCTCTTCCACCACAGCTTCTTCATGCTCATCCAGGCAAAGCATCTCTGGGGGGTAGGGTGGCCATCGGAAAGCGGGTGGTACTAGAAGTCTCCCGGGGTAAAGAAGAAGGGCGAGACGACCGCAAAACAGGAGCGGAACAATTGTGCGCGGGCAACAGCAGAAGATCCATTCATCGAAGAAACATTGACCACTTTCATCTAGCTCAAGCATGACACGATTGATCAGCTTCAAATCTAGATCACGAACCTCCTCGCCAGCTGAAAGCCCCAAAGACGAGTCGGAAAGGGATAACAATCAAATCAGCAATCCTGACTCATTGTTCTCATGGAGCATGAGGGGTTCAAGGAAAGTTCCATTGAAACGATCTGGCTCTGGAAGTCTTCTGGATCCGAAGAGAGTCAAGAAACAAAGCCTTTACGACGAAGTGGGACTGAAGATGCAACGATGCTTGTCTAATTCGAACACTGTTTTTACCTGCTGTGCCAAGAAGGATATTTACTATTATTTCAATTACTACCAGCGCTCAGAAGAAGGGATGGGTTACGTAGCCAAAAGCAACTCTTACAGGATAAAACTGCCATCGTTGAATCTCTCCTTTTTCAAATGATAGTGATAACCTAGAAGCCTAGATATTTTGTAAATTCTGGTGTAATGACCAGCTTGTAATTGAATGAATAACTTGTACATACGATTCATGATGTGCTCATGTTTTGAGCACAGAGGGAATATAGCCCAAAAGACATTTCATTTCTATGATTGACAATCTATTTCATATTGTTGGTTTATGTACAAAGTGCACTTCCCAAACTAGACTTATTGCCAAAATTTTCATGCAATCGGTCTGTTGCGACTTGACTTCCAGTGTCGTGCTCTGCTCCAAATCAATAAAAACAATAATGTAGTCCCATCAGCCAGGTCATTTCGGTTTGCTCGTGTACGTCGCGTTGAGTGAGGCTTCCAGGGCTACAAACTATCGTCAGCACCTGACACAAGCAGCAAGAGCAGCAACAGCATTTTCACCTTGAAGAATCCGTTTCACGCCTCCTGTAGGGTTCAGGTTCTGCAAGCTTCTAGAAAGTCAATCTGAGACTACTTGAACCAAACGCTTACGCTTTGATCATCGATCTCGCATCAGCACTTGTGGTCAGCTTCATTTCTTTCTTGTCGACTGATCTGCCTCCCCCCCGATCCTTTTCGCCGTCAGGGTTTGACTTCTTACCACCTCCTGTGTCGCTGATGAGAAACAATCATCTCCATGCCGCCTGGTGCTAGTGGCACCTGCGACTTTGATGTCTTGAACTGGCACGGATTCATCAAAGTCTCCATCGTTGAATTGAATAGCTGTTGAAAGCAATTCAAACAGGTAGAAACTCTAAAGCATTTCATGCAGCTCAACAGTAATTTGATTCGTACCGTAAGTCTTTCCATCTTCATTCACTCGCTCAATTTTGCCCGGAAACCAATCACCTCCTTTCCATCGTGCCGTTACACTACAAACCGGTTTAGGTATGTGAAACAGCATTGAACAAGTCGAAGCTTACGATTGGCCAACTTGAAACGATGCTGCATCGTCTTCAAATTCGTTGCCTTCAAGGCTTGAAATTTGTATCAACATCAAAATCCTCAGACCGGGAATAAATCACCTAGAAATAGATTGCCAAAGATGGGTTGCAAGAGTTTTGATCTCTTTGTCAGACTTTCCAATTCCTATCGGGAGCAATCAGCAATCAAACGTCCAGAATAATCTGTTTTCCTTCAGGAAATAAACCTTTCTTCGCAAGGACATCTTTGATCAAGTTGTAAGCGTCTTCCCAACTGGCAATCTGAACCCATGAAAGCATCATACATAGTTGACCACCAACAAAATTCTACGTCATCAGCATCCAGAGAAATTATTCCGTACATTTTGTCCTAAACCAAACGAATGTAACAAGATCTGAAATGAATAGAACTATTTCCACCTCATCAGTATCTTCACTGTTTGAGAGCTGTCACAAGAAACAATCAATTTATCGTTAAGTAGGAAATTGAGTTTGTACCTGTGCTTTATCTACAATTTGCCGATGCTTCGCCTTTATTCTTGAAAGTGCAAAATCTTTCTCCAATCTCTGCCGCGTTTTTTCATGATCATTTCCGTTCCGGTAAGGGGTCGCTTCAAGCAATCTGTCTACAAACGCAATCTTTTTTGCACACAGAATTCACTCGAAGGCAAAGTACGAATGTAAGTTTTCAACCTGATCAAGTAGCTCATGTCTGAGCCACGCCAACGCCTGGGGCTTCAGAGTCTTCAGGTAGTCAAATCTTCGCGCCGTCGGATCGGGACATTTCTTCACAAATGTGTGCCAGCCTCTTCCTCTCTAAAACAAACTTGAGGTCAACATCTCGGTAGCGGGTAGCATTCTTACAGGATCAGTGTAGGTTATCTTCTTGAACCACACTGTAACTGGAGTTGAGGGGGTGGATAGCTTGTTTGCTGATCAAGCGTTCAGTACGAGCTTTAGTTGAATGTTGCTACCGAATGTAAAAGCCGCGCAAAGATCATGTCGATTACACCAGTCTCTTGCTTGCTCCCAAGTCATCTCTGCAATTTACCATTTAGCTTGCAATAGTATAAGGCAATGGCTGCACCATCATTTTCCGTACTACCTGCTATGAAAATATCTTGTCGGGGGTCATCGGGAACAAATCCTTGCTTGTACTCGAACGTGCAAGCTGCAGCATACTTGAGGAACAAGAGGAAACATCATACCATTGCTCACGCTCTGGTGAAGAGAATTGAGAAAACGAAGAAGGAGACGTAAGCTCACAAAGCCTCTCTCCTGCAAAAACGTTCAACTAGTGCACGAAGAAGCATTCAGATCACCTTCGTCACATTCTTTCGCACTGAAGGTAGGGTCCAGACACGATTCCTTGAGAAGACCAATTCTATCATTCGCCAGAGCATTCCCATCGGTCTTGGTGCATCGATAAAGCTTTCTGTTGTGCTTGCAAATGTTGATGTGTTCCTCGGTTGCATGGTTCAGCGAGCTCTCCGCCAAAGTCTTGTGTTGGCCACATTCTCGCACTGTGTCTAGATCTCTCTGATCCTTTTGATCTGTTTGCTTGCTCACAGATTTCTCTTGCGTTTGGTGCTGATGCTCATTCTGAACTTTCGATTTCGATGTTTTAGACTCACGCCCCGCCGTGTCTCCATCCAATTCTGAGCATTTGGGTCAATGGGAGTTAGAGCACGTCACAGATACCTTTGAGAGCATCACTTATCTCTGCTTGAACTTGGCTTATCACTTTATTCAGGTCTTCACCAGCAGAGATGGTCTTGAATATCACCTGCGGTCAACGGGACGTGATTCGACAGTTCATGAGTGTGCAATGCGAGCACTTGTGAGAGCAACGAGAGGAAAGTTGGGAACATTGTTCATGACAAAAACACAATGGTTACCAATGGCTCAGAGTCGTCGGAGTGTAGAGTTTTCTCCACGGATTTGCGCACTTCTTTCCCATTTTCGAATTTGAACTCTTGAACTGTCTTCACTCGCGTGCCTGTTGTGCTTCTGCTTCCATCTGGACGTGAGTTGGTGCCTGCAATTCTTGCTCGCTCCTGAGCCAGGTGTCTTGCCTTTTCATCTGGATCGCAACGAGGCCCGTCCAAGGAAGTGCAAACTCCGTCGAGCTCTTCGGACCCAAGCTGATACTTGGGCCCTCCAAGTCTGGAAATGATATGACTCTCTCTGTTCCGCTGAAGTTGCCTGTCCTTGATCTCGTCCTGCTCCCTGGTGGTGGTGGATTCACCGGCCATCGCCACCGCCATCGCCACGGTCATGGCGAGAACGATGCACCGTCGTCTCGCCATGATGGCACGGGTCAAGGAGAGTGGGATACCCATGAACTGCAGGGATTTACATATCGGTTTACTAGGTAATGAGGGGCACCCCGGCACCTTCAGTACTTGAGAATGTCACCGACTGTATGCTTGGAAGGTTCCACAGACATGCAAGTTGCAGGCCTGCCTCACTATGGTGATCCTCTCGAAGTGCAGTTGTCACGATGCTAATTTTGAGGGGGTAGGGGGGTGAGGGGGTAGTACCTGAGTAAGGTGCCAGCAGAACATGGCGGACGGAACGGCACAGCTGATGGACATGCTGGATGGGTCGTGGGACGCATCGTCGGGGGGAGGAGGAGGATCAGGGAAAGGCTGGATCTCGAGAGACGAGCAAGAGCGATTTCTGCTGTCACTACTCTCTCTCGGTCTAGATAGAGTGGCTGCAGAACCAGAACGGCTGGCAAACGAGTGCCATGCGGTCAAGAAGGACACTGAAACACACGCAGTAAGTAATTACAGTGCTTTTCTTCAGTCAGCAGTCTGCGTTCGGAGTGTAAGGGAGGAGCTGGAACTAAGTGGGCGACTGCTCCATGAGTTGGCGGCTGATGTCCCATCGCTGCAGCGAGCTTGCGAGGAAGTAGAGGAACATGCGAAGGCGGTGGATTTGCTGCGAAAACAGACCCAAACAACCTGGAAGATGCATGCTCAGCTCCTTGAAGTACTGGAAGTTCCGCAGCTCATGGATACGGCTGTGAGAAATGAGTATTATGAGGAAGCGCTTGAACTGGCAGCCTTTGCCCGACGCTTGCGAGCGCGGCATCAAGAGAATACCCTAATTGAATCTCTATTTCAAGCCGTCGAACGCAGTGAGAACAACATGCTCTATCAACTCCTGCAAAAACTTCAGGTGCAGAGTGTCTGAATGAATCGTTTGAGCTTATGACGTCAAATCTCAGAGTCATATCCAACTGCCAGTCTGCCTGCATGTGATTGGTGTCCTCCGACGACTTGGTAGGCACAGCGAAGAAGATCTTCGCTTTATTTTCTTGGAATGTAGAGACTTGTGGCTTCAGGTCTTGAAAACATCTCAAAAGCTGCTTGAATGTTTGATAAGTCTTACAGTCAGCATTTGACGAAGCTGAGAAGTCTGGACCAGTTTATCAATCACTTAGCAAAATTACAGGTAGAGATACTGATGGCTGCTTTTTGGATGTCTGACGACTTTCATGGGTCAAAAGACTTGGTAAGGGTTCATATCTTTGAGATCGTCACACAATATCGAGCTATTTTCTTGGATTTCTCCTCATCCCAGGCGAGTTCTCTGCTTCAATCTCAATAGCCTTCAAGTAACAAGGGATACTTTTATTTTGATCAGGAGATGGAAGGATCAGCAGATGGAGGGCTTCTCTATGCATGGGCGAGCAGGAGGATCACAAACTTCATTTCAGTCCTCAATCAGGTTGTGCTATACAATGTAATCTTTCCCTGATCGTTAGCTACAAGGGCCTACCGCGAATCAAAGAGTGCAGTCAGATATCGAGTCTGCTGGACAAGGTGAGCATAAGAATGCATGTTGATAAACAACTTGACACGTTTTTAAATAGGTGATGTACTGTGGCGCGTATTTGGGTAGGGAAGGACTTGATTTTAGATCGGCAGGTATCAAAGCCTTGTTGCATCATTCTGCACCTGTTCTTGTCCATTGATGCTTTTGCAGTTGGTGAAATCTTTGAGATGAGAATGCTTGAGATTATACAGCTCTCTCTTTCGAACGGTATATCGTTTGCAAGATCCTGTATGCAAGGACTGATAGATGGATCACAGCACGAGACGCATATGAACAATCCTTGGCTGCACAAAAGCTCAACTCAATGCCTGAGGCTGTCAAGACTCGGTAATTCACCTTATTCAGTGTCACGGCCATCTGTGGATTGACCCAATCTGGTTAGCTACGAAGAGAATGCAACAGGAGTTATGAGTCCGCCGTCAATCTTCTTGAATTTTATTCCTTTGGCACTTCTTTGCAACAAGGTTTGGATCAATACTTTTGTTTACTTTGACTTTGCTGTTTGACAGCTGATGGACTCTTTGAATGAGCTTCGAGAATGTGCAATGATAACATGCAGGCAGAGGTTTCTTGTTCTGAATGTCAAACAACTTTGGTTCTGACCATTGGTTTCTCGTGGTACCAGGGCAACAGGCATGATAGTTGAAGTTCTTTGCTGCTGTGCAGAACAGACAGCAGCGAACTTTGCTGAGATTGAGTCTTCTTTGTCCAAGGGGGATCGCAAACACATGGTCGACCTGGTATCATAGATTGTGTTGTATCTTCCGCTGCGCAGATCGTTGACCTTGGATGAAGATCAAGACCATGAGTGGCACTCTCGTTCCTTTCATCCTTAACTGCGTGCAGTATCTCTTTGGCATCCGAGAGCAGCTAGAAGTAAGCCTGTCGCAGCAACCTGGATTGTGTTCTGAACGCTATGCAGAGGATGGATGTTCACAGCATTACGCGGCCACTTCAGGACTTGATCGAGATCGAAGAGGAGGCCGAGCGAGAGGTCAGACTGAATGCAGTCTTCCCTTCTTATTCTCGCTATTTCCAGGCTGCAAGACTGCTTGCTAAGCGTCAAGCTGAGGTTGAATTATAAGTCGAAGGTTCTGGTTTCAATCTGATCTATTCTTTCAGGAGGAGGAGATGAGAAAGAAGCAGGAGGAGGCGGCGGCTCTTGCAAGGCAGAAAGCTGAGGAGGAGGTAGTTGTAGCTTGGAGTTACTTTGCTAAAATCCATCACAGATTGCCGAGGCGCGTCGACGAGCAGAAGAGGCCATTCGAGGGACAAGCGAGAAAAATCAGGAGGATAAAGCTGAAGACGCAGAAGATTCAAAACATGAACATCATGAAAAGAATGGGGATGAAGAAAATCGTCATGCTGCCTCTACTGAAACAGAAGGGTAACTATGTTTTTGGAATTCGTCTGCGTTATTGCTTACATTCCTTCAGGGTCGTGTCTTCAGGTCAATTTTTGCAAGACATGTTCTGATTTTTGTGTGCTAATCGTGTCGTTCACAGACGATCTGCCGGCAGAGTTACACGAAGCAGGTAATTTCTGCTTGATTTATGCGTGTTTTCTGATTATTTTTTGGCAGACAAGCATCATTCTGACGAAAACGCATAGAAGTCAGCCAGTCGATCCTCATATCTTCTAGACATCTTGAAATAGAATTTCTAAATTTTCCATTGCGGGAATAGTTTTCTTACTGACGAGTAACGGCATGCAAAGTTGCACAGGAGTAGTTTACAAATTCATCGAAACAACCTAGTATCAAATCAGTTTGTACGCATGTTCTTTCATCGCTTACCCCAAGGATGATTAGGATGAGTCCGAAGAAATGCTTTGCTCTCAGCGCCTCACCGAAGATCATGATGCCGATTGCTGCCGTCGCCGTTGTCCCGACACCTGACCAGATAGCGTAGGCGATGCTGAGAGGCCAATACTTGAGCGCATGCGTGAAGAGGTAGAAAGAGGAGCCGTAAAAGACAAAGAGCAAGACGCTTGGAATGATGTTGGCAAAGTTGTTTGACATCTTCATGCACATCGCTCCGAGCACTTCGAGTATAATCGTGGCGGACAGGAGGACCACCCCTTTCCATGAAACCGAAGGGAGCGACTCCATGCCAGGCACCAGCGCTCGAAGTGGAAGAGGAGCCAACTTGCTACTGCTTTTGGTAACACGAGATGTTGCGAATCCTCTTGGTTGAAAGGAACAAGAATACAGATGATGGCATTTGTTTGTCTTCAAGACGATTCCATCGACAAACTCTTGGGTAGGAGAAAGTGATGATAGAAAACAATGTGATGAGCCTAAGCATGCCAGTAAAGCAAGTATTTTCGAAATTGGAGAGAATTGGCTGAAATTCATCCTTCAAAATGACCTTGATGAAATTCGGAAGATGATATATGTTGTTCGTGCAAGGATTATGAAGACATTGATCCTTGGCTTTCGGTTCTGAGCCCCTGCGAAATAATAATTAATGCCAGATCATGGAAAACAAGTCGCAAGTATACAGAGAAACAAATGTGCTCCTAAATACGACTTGTAGCATCTAATTTTCAAACAAGATTCTTTGTTGGATCAACTAGAAGCTCTTGCATATTGTTGTCGATTATCGTGCATCCAAATACAACTACATATCTCGTTCATCGCTTGTTCCTCACACTCGACTCTTTAATATCATCACTACAGCGCCCAACAGAAGCCCTAACGAGAAGCCCTGACATCTTCGCTTCATTTTTGTATCTCGACTGCTTTAGGACAACTGTTCCCCAAAACCTCAAAAAAACGCGGCCTCCTTCATTCCCCAACACGAATTCGGAATCCCCTCATACACTACACAAGCCTGTGACTCATACAGCACATCCTGGATGCCAAAAATGCAGGGTTTAGGATTTAGGGTTTAGGGTTTAGGCCTAAACCCTCTCCTGACTGAGGCTGAGGAAGCTGAATGGAGGAGGAGTAACGGTGGCGACCGAAGGCCAAGGTGAGGAGAGGCAACTCTCCTGACTGAGGGTGAGGAAGCTGAATGGAGGAGGAGTAGGTGGCGACCGGGCCGAAGGCCCGGAAGGTGAGGAGAGGCAACTCTCCTGACTGAGGCTGAGGAAGCCAAGAGAAGACAGCAAAAGTATAAAGTAGAAAGAGACCTCAGAAGCAGGGTTCACATTGTAGGCCGTGTACTCCCAGTGCTCGCGCGCCTCTTTAGCAGGGTTTAGAGTTTAGGGTTTAAGGTTTAGGGTTTAAGGTTTAGGGTTTAGGGTTTAGGGTTTAGGGTTTAGGGTTTAGGGTTTAGGGTTTAGGGTTTAGGGTTTAGGGTTTAGGGTTTAGGGTTTAGGGGCCGCTGGAGTAACAGACATTCCGTTCCAATCCCCTTCTGGAATCTTTAGTACCAGGGCGTTTTGTTTGTACTGCCCTTAAAATACTTATTCCAAAGCGTTGTGGTATTTGTACGGAGGTCCTCAGGGCACCCCATACATGAAGTTGTACCACAAAAGTCCCTCATTTTCTGTGAGGTTCGCATGGGTGGTTTCAGATAGTTTAGAGAACCCGTACGTTTCCCTCCGTCAGAGTCAGGGTGGGGTGGGTTGGATTCAAGGGAGGAAGGATGAAATCTTAAAAGTATGGGCTCTCCGTACTGGAATTGGCGTCGAAAAGTATCATATTCGATTACCGGTAAGTGGTCAAACAGCACCCACCCCTGTGGTCCATAGCTCAATGACCCTCTCGCAAGGGAAATTTGAATCAAATTACTTTGACCAAAGCTAGTACCCCCTACCTTTGAAAAAGCCTGAGTAGATGGAAATCGGAAGGTAGGGGTGGGTCTATTCCTCAACCCCACACGCCTTCTGCTTGAGCCACGACAAGGAGCGATGGCCGTGATACCATGAGGACGTGTTGCAATCGAATTTTCATGCGTGTATGCTTCGAATCATGTTGTATTGTTGCATAGATACAAGAAGGGTCTTGAAAAGAACTTGCCTTGCATGAATGCAGCTCTGTTGTGGTGATGAACCAAGTGCAATGGATTCAAACTTCGATGTATGTCAACGCTTTTCGAAGTCAGGGAACATGTTGATCTTTTAGCGAGATCTTGATTCATCTCAGCCAATATCTAAGTCAACTGCTGTCAGAGGAACTGGGGGATATGGCCCATTAACTTTAGACTTGAATGACAGCCATCAATGTTATTATCAGAAAGAGAGCAGTTGCATCAACAAGCTCTGTTCAGGCAAGTTACTGATTCTAATGCATGACTACATGTCTAGAATGTTTGTCAATCCAAAAGTTCTTGGATTGTTGCCGTGTCATTGTGGATATCCTGGCCCATGCACTGATGCCCTTATTTGTCGAATCGCAAAGCTGCAAGTGAGTTTTCGCCTCGTCTGTTTGTTAACAGGCATGCATGTACTCAATGTAGCAACAAAAGATGATTTTGAGGTCATTCAATTATCTACTGCCCGTCTCTTCCGCCCTATTTTGAAGCAATCCAAGACTGATACCCAAGAAGCAAGAAAACTTCTTGTATTTTGTGCAGTGTCACCCAGGTGGCAATGATCACATACTTGAACATCGGAGTTCAAATGCACAAGGAAGGATGGGCTTATTGATCGTGTAGATGCAGTCCAGTAATGAACATGTCTATTTTCAATAAAAGATTCGAACTAGCATGCGCGGTGGCAAGGTTTCTCCTTTGTTGATCGACTTACAACAGAAACATTCAAGTCTTTTAGTACAAGCACGCATATGCCGCACATGTGTGTCCCTAAAGACATATGAATGTTTGGCATCGTGTGAAAGCCTTGCCAATACTGGGGCCCTGGGAAACTGAACACATGTTCGAAAAGCCTGATTTTGTCAAAACTCATATTCATTTCATCGAGACTTCATACATGATCTCAACTCTACTCACGGAACATCTTCATCTGAAAATTTCTGCAATTGAAAGTTTACAAGGAATTCATCTGCACCGTAACAAATTTGACAGCCTCAGAGCAATGCATCAGCACTGCTCTCCTAATTGAAAACGCATCTGGCTTGAATTCTTTGCTGTTGATCACTGCGAAAAGTTTTCTCCCTTCTACATAGTGCATCAGACAGCCTGCTCTGAAGAAAAACTCTCAAGCTGAAATACTGTGCTAGAAATGTATTCGAGTCTTTGAAATCTTGCAGCAATCAAAGCTCACCGAGGATTTACATCTTGTTGATTTACAATTTGTTGGTGGACATGAGAACAGGTTGACAAGTCACTGGCTCGACTCAAATACATTCACATCCAACACACTCCATAATTGTGCATGAGTAATGACGCTACAATTATAACGATTTTGCCCCATCATCGCAAGGAGCAATAAGTGGCAAAATTGAACAACCAACATCAAATCACTTCTGTATACACCGATTTCATAGACAAACCTACACCATGCATCAAATACTGATTTGGAATATGCTAACCTTGATCAAAACCATTCTCAGAAAAGCAACCATGGCATAGAAACATGTTGTTTGCAAGAGATGGAACCCTCATTCGTGCTTCTCTGAAGCATGACCATTGCAAAAATTTTCACAGGCACGGCGCGCGCCGGGGAATTACGGTGGGCTTGAGCGGGGAGATGGCCCAAAATTGTGCGAAAAGGATTCTTTTCGTTACACAATAATATTTCAGAACCTTTTTCAATCGCAGTACAAAATTTCAGAACCGTGAAATCGAAATATTTGAGAATAAGAACCCCTTTCGATACGTGAAAAAATCCAGAAGGGAATTGGAACGGAATGCAGGGCCGCTGGAGTAACAGACAGGGCCGCTGGAGTAACAGACAGGCCGCTGGAGTAACAGACATGCTCTCCTCCCCTGCAGTTTGAGGGGATCCCTGCGAGCTAGGGTGCTGAACAGGATATTTTTCTGTGCAGAAACGGTTGTTTGATCATGTGGTATCTATCCAAAGAGGAAAGGAAACAGATTGCTCGTGTCCGAGTTTCCCAGTTCCTAAACAAGGACACGACGCCTTCAGCACCTTCGCTAGGAGAGCTGATCCGAAGATTGGAACACTTCGTCAGGCAGTACTACGGTACCCTCAGAGCAGGACAGGCAGAGCCTTGCAGTCCAAGGAAGTCTCGATGAACGCCTTAGCCGAAGCCATTCGACAGACCTGCAAACATGCTGAAGTCAGGAGCCAGGAGGATGCCATCAAAGAATGGGGGGAAGAAGGACAGTCGTGGTATGTCTCTGCATGGAACGCAGACAAACAGGAGGTACTAGACAAGAGTGCCTGCATCGATGCTTCAGGAGCGTCCCCCGAGAGTGGTAAACTGATTACCATGGCTATCCTCGGAGTTCCTACCCAGTACATAAAACAAGTTGAGGTACTGTGTGAGAAGTTGAAGGATCAAGGACTCTTGGTGCACGAGGAGCAGGGCAAGAAATGCATCTCGTGGAGAGCCCCGATCAAGAAAGATTTGATTCCGACAGTGGATGAAATCCCAGTCGTGGCAACACTCCAATTGAACGACGCAGCAGAACTGCTGTGGAAAGGACAGACGAACTTCAGGATCGACGGAAAGATGATCCGCGCGGTGAACGCGCATTCGAAGCATCCTTGCTCCTTCAAGATAAGGCCACAGAAGGATAAGCACTCTGGCAAGGCGGGGGCCCTAGCTGAGTTCTCTCACCTCCTCAAGATGAATGGCATGAACTCAGCTGGGATTACGGTGATCTATCGTCAACACCTGCTGCAACAAGGAATAGCTGTGTTGGAGGTGCAGCCGGAAGCGGGCATGCAGCTAGAGGTCAAGACGAAGAGGAGACCTCAAGGTCAGCCCAACAAACGCACTTTCTAGGGTTTAGGGTTTAGGGTTTAGGGTTTAGGGTTTAGGGTTTAGGGTTTAGGGTTTAGGGTTTAGGGTTTAGGGTTTAGGGTTTAGGGTTTAGGGTTTAGGGTTTAGGGTTTAGGGTTTAGGGTTTAGGGTTTAGGGTTTAGGGTTTAGGAGGCGCCGTTATTTTCGGCAGGCGCCGTTATTTTCGGCAGGCGCCGTTATTTTCGGCAGGCGCCGTTATTTTCGGCAGGCGCCGTTATTTTCGGCAGGCGCCGTTATTTTCGGCAGGCGCCGTTATTTTCGGCAGGCGC